ATCACCAACATTTACGTAAACCTTAAGGAATGATATACACAAAATAGCATCACACAATAGTGCATATCCAAGAAAGGGGTAAATCAAAGCTAGCTACATAACAAATGAGTTTAAAGCAGTTTGGAATTTAATTCTAGTTTTTAGGTCTCTAGGTTTTATGTAAAGCAAGTCATCCATTACATATATAGGTAAATACAAACAGTTGCAGTTCCTGACAATTTGGTGTCGCCATCATCAGCCGCTTCTATCACCAGTGTATATATAGGAGTATCCTCTCGGTTAAGTGGTGTCAACACATTTATATCACCCTGAAACATAGGTTTATATATATTTACATAACAGCATTGCTTTGTATGTTATAAAATGGGAGAATTCTATCAACAGAATTAGTCTAGATTTATTTGTAAGAAACCAACCCAAAAAAGAAATACGTCATTTGTTCACAAGGGAATATCTTACCGTAGTGTTATTGATATCAAAGTGATGTCCAAAGTCCTGGGAGATGATGCTGTATTCTAGCACAGAATTGCGCCCCTCGTCGCTGTCTCTAGCCTCGGTAGGGATTGTAAGCGACATACTTTCCGGACCTTGTATCGAGGAAGGGAATTCATAACTTATAACACAATACATTAATGTTTAAGCGAGGGCTTTTCGAGTAGTTATAAATGGAATACTCTTTTTTAATATCGTGCTACTTTTCACCTTAACAAAATATAATTAGCTGAATGCTGAACATATATCTTTACCTTGTGCTTTCTGTGAGAGCATGTGTCTTTGATCCTCAAAACGTTATTACTAAAAAGAAAAACTGCTCTCTCAATGTGTTCGCTAGCGTGTACCTGAATGGCACATGTATACAAAATGCAGATACTTAGTAATTCCGGGTTAAGATGTAATAACATACCTTCATTCACTGTGAGATTGTATACATCTTGTAGGAATGCTGGCTTGTTGTCATTGACATCCAGCACGGTTATTTCCAAAGTTGTTGATGCCTACAGTCAATATTGTCCCAAATATAACATTGCACCAATGGTGTCAAACGAACATTTTCCAATTATATACCACGGTTATACTAACATTACAACAGAATGATTGTTGAATTATCTACATTAATATGAGGTTTATTTGAAGAGTAATAACAGTCTGGAATATCAATCTGGTAGCTATAGAACATGCTTACTTCAATCAAACGACTAGAGTGTTGATATCAGTGTGATTAGCTGAGTCTTATATCTATATCATAACCTCATATGATTTAATGAATCATCGGGATCGTTCACTTCTCCATCTAGTTTTGATACTTGGACTTTGGTATCCAAATGTAGTCACTTAGCATCACTTACGAGTCTTTAAAGGACGAAACAGCTTTACTATGCAGTTTAGTTCATTATTTAACCCTACTTCTCTCTTCTGTTCAATCTGTGAAATGTCAGTTGGAAGGCACTATTGATGGACGAAATGTTCCCGATGTTTACAGAAAGTCATAAATATCTCACGTTTTGATTAATTAAGATAATACTGAAGGACTTACAGTGTGATTGGCGGAGTCTGTAACATCAACGTCTAAGCTGTAAGACTTGTTCACTTCACGATCTAGGTGGTTATTTAGAATAACATAGCCTATGCCCTCTTCACTCTGTATCGAAAATTGGCCATTGCCATCTGAAAATATAACATTAACAAATAACAAATGCCTTTGGAAGGAACATCTAATTATGACTGAACGCAGTAATGTAATAATGAGGAGGACGCATTTCAGGGGTGTAGGACATGTTTATTATATCAGACCGTTGACAAGGGTGTACTGGAGCTTTCCGTCGTCCAAGGTATCTGCATCGGTAGCATGAAGTTGATAAAAGCTGGAGCTGACAGCGCTGTCCTAAAATACATGAAGATATGATATGAATTATTGGTATGTTTAATTGACATGTTGGAATGTGTTTCCGTTTTTCCAGAATCTTTACAGACTTTCATTCTTAATACAGACACAAATTATTCTTTTATTTCTTTTACAATATGCAATATCAAAACTCTTGAAATACCGTATAATTTATGCATTTCATGAGTCATGCATATACTTGTTACCATATATACTAATATGAAAACAAATATTGATGACTTACCTCTGCTATCGATGTTTGGTATGTTCGATTTGAAAAGACAGGAGGGTTGTCGTTGACATCTAGTACCACAACAAGTAAGCTCATTGTATTGTTAAATTGTCCGTCATTGACTTGTAGCTGTAACCAAAGTCAAACTCAACTACAATCGTATACTAATAATACTTTACTCTATCAAACAATAGTTAATAAATCAAACAGGTAAATTAAAGATGTTTTCCTAAAATGTCATTTCAAACATTTTTAAAGTAATTTTCTTGCAGTCTAAAAGATCTCAATCTCTGGTCTAACTTTTTACTAAATTATTTTTTTTCTTGTTATACTTACCGTTAAATTGTAGTTCGTGACATTTTCAAAGTCCAGCGATGAGTCAATAAAAACGCAGGCAGAAAGAGAATCGTTGTTTTTCTCAATTCCGAAAGAACTGGTTTCGTCATTAAGAATCGCAAAAGTAAGCTGTATTGAATAAGAATGTTTCGTTAGTAACAAGGTGTTGCAGAATTTGAAACCCATGTTTGTTGGCAACTTCTTTATATTGCGTTTTAATGTTATTAAGATCATAGGGATGTTCCTATCGTGAATACCAACGTCTACATTTGGTGATAAATATATCTCTGCATCTGGTAAATCAAACCATTTTGGACATTTTTTAAGATGACCTTCGGTGAACATTTTAAAGACAATATGCACATTGATTTAATCTTGAAAGAATATTTTCAAATATGTTAAAAAAAGAACTAAATGATAAAAGAAGTTTCTTAATACTCTGCAACATATACATACACTCTACGAAAGGGCAGTTTTAGAAGGGCGTGGCCAGCAGTTTTTGATTACAAACAACGTTTGTCCTAAGAGAGCTGATAGATAATTAGTGAGCCTCATATTTAACAGTTTGACTCTTGGCAGACATATTGCATTATTTTTCCAACATAAACCCCTCCAGTATGAACATACGTTTGCCAGCGATGTTTCAGGACCTTAATATAACTTTTGAAAAAGTCATTTCCTTGACCGCTTCACTGGATCTATGCCGTTATCATCTCAATGAAAGTCGGTACCTAAATAATTTTGGAAATAGATGAAAGTCTGATGGAGCGAGGTCAGTCGCATAAGACAGGTGTTTAATTGATTCAAAGCCACAATCGTGTTGAAAAATTATGCATAATATGCGCTTTTGATTGTTTCTCCCTTTTGCAGATAATCTATCACCAGAATACTATCATCTTCCCCGAAAAACAAGGCCATAACCTTTCCAGCTGATAGAATATTTTGACTTCTATCGCGGAGGTGAACAAGGGTGCTTTCATTGTTAAGTGTTGCTACCATATCAGTTTCAATACCCTTAGGTGCTAGACCTTTCTAATGCAAATAATAAATCACTTCTCTTTCTTTTCAGTAATTTTGACCTTTTTTCAAAAGACATCTTGTATTGTTTACTTTAAGAGTGCTACCTCTTCGACATAAATTGACCTAATGCTACCAGTCTGCGGGTACACAGCCTTAAACAGTCATGGAATAGTAGAGCTGAAAAAAGATCATCTCTTCAATACAAGGCTCACAACTTATCAATCAGTCCTCGTGATAAGACCTGCTGTGTATACCATTGTACCTGGGGATCACTGTCACGGTCAGTAGCAGATACTGTTCGGATACAGGTTCCCACTGGCGTTGACTCCAATACGGACACTGAGGCTTGGTCAGATTGGAACACAGGTGGCTGGTCATTCACGTCCAGTACTTCTATGTCCACCTGAATATATATATTGATATAGTTTAATCTCAAACATCCATGTATTGACTATTATACGTCACTTGTGTGTTTCTTCATATTCGACGTAAATAAACATTACAAAAAGAACTATTACAAGTTGTCATTCATATCCCTTCTAGTTATGTAAAAATTGAAAGCAAATTACGTTCTCAGTTGATAATTATATAGCTACGTATTGATAGAAGTACCGATAGAAGCATTACTAATTATTAATCGCTCCTGGATATTGCAGGTTCGTTCATAATAGAAATGCATGGCATAATCAGGAGATATTTTATTTTTGACCAATCAGATGGCTTTAATTAGTTCACATAAGGGAAACGAACAAAATGGGAAAAGCCTTTATCACTCGTCTTCTGATCATATAAAACTCATGTATCGTTTCAATGAATCCGCCATTTCGACGGAAAAAATAACAACAGACACTGAGCAAAAACAATCAAATACAAATTACCATTTCTCAAAAATATTTACAATTCAATCTGCACAATAAAATACCTTTAATCGTTAGACATATATTGCTAACAATTTTTGAAAACCAAAAAGCAATTTTGTACGTAAAGTTCATTATCCAATATCTGTCTAAATGATATCGGTAATGGAATAGAATCCAATGTTTATTCGGAACGTACAATTCACTAGATGATATTCGTTTACTTTATAGGGAGAACATACCAAAGATGAACATGCTCCTGCGCTGTTTGTGGCGGTCACAGTTAATATGATATTGGGTGATGCTTCACGATCCAATAAAGCCGTCGCCATAATCAGTCCCTGTGATATTAAAATACATCGAGCATCGATTATTGTGATATATCATAACGGTTTTTATCATCAACAAACAGATTGTCCTTTGGCAATAAATACACCTGGTCTTATTATCCTCGAACTTTTCAAGTGTCTCCGTGTAAATAATTTTTTTCATATTTTGCACTAGTTTTCTTGAATTTTTGTGTATGGATCATGATTGTGTTGACATGTTGGTATTTTCTTTCTTTTTTTTTCTTCACCGAAATAATATTTCGGTCAAACGCTAATATATTTCAGATAAGTATCGACTTCAACATAGTATATGTGTTATTTTTGTGTTTCATTTCATTTTTATTTTATATCTTTTCACTTTGTATACCACATGAGTATATACGTACTGTTGAATTTCCAATCCGAAAACCCTTGGTATGGGGACCTTGGCTGGTCAGTTGGTACGATATGTCCCCTGTATTTTCTGTCGTTGTATTGACATCTGCTATATATACTGGAACAGGTGTATTTTCTGGTATTTTAACGTGAATATAAGTAGAATTTTTATCAAACACTGGCTTCCCTTTTGTTCCAGTGGATAAACGAAGAGTTGTACTATCGTTTAAGCCACCGCGATCAGTAACAACAAACTGCAGTACCACAGTCTGAATGGAACTTGCTGTCACATTTCGAGATGCGTATATTTTCCCTGTCGTTGCGTTCACATGGAAAGTGTCGTTTTGATTCAAAAGAGTGTAAGTGAGCTTGTGGAACGGACTAGAATAATCTGGATCACTTGCCGTTACTATGCCCACTAAATCACCTGCTTTGACATTTTCTACACTACACACACTAGTAACATTTTTAACGAAATGTGGTCTTTCGTTCACATCGAAAACATAAACACGGACAACGGTTGTGTCTGTTTTAAAATCGTCAGCTTGGTCTCTAGCTTCCACAACTAAATCATAATCCGGTGAATCTTTAAAGTCTAATGATCCATTGATGTAAATGAAACCAGTTGTTTTATTAATGATAAATTGTCCATGATTTCCAGATAGAATTGTGTAGTGTACGGTACCAGCAGGTCCACATTTGTCCGTTCCTCCACAGTCGGCATCTGTCGCAGATACATTAACAATACTGTCGGTATAGAGTTTGTGTTCACTTACATTCACTGTGTATTGTGTATCTTTAAATACTGGCGCATAGTGATTTGACGTATCAATTCTAATATCTATCTGCGTGGAGTTAGATTTCGGGGGTTCTCCGTAATCTACTACATGTACATTCATAGTGTAATTGCAGTTTACGCAAAAATGTGCATGTGCATTGGCTACCGTCACAACACCAGTTCGGCTGTTTATAACAAAATCACCCTCGGCTTCTGACAGAAAGAATGTGAAGCCCAAGTTTGATATATCGTTGTCCTTGGCCCATACCGTCAACACGTAACTCCCGTCTCTGGCGTTTTGTGGAATAACTGCATTATAAGACGTACTGTTAAACGCTGGGGTGTTGTCATTGACGTCCGTCACATTGACAATGAGTAGCTGTGATCGCATATGTCCAATAACTCCGTCAGAAACAGATATTTTCAAGAAATATGATTCAATATCTTCTGCATTAAGTTGGGAATTGGTTTGCAATGTCCAGTTATCAAAACCAAACCTTGAGTTGTTTACTGATAATGTCACGTTTTCAAAAGAAGTATCGGGATCAAACACAAAAATCTGAAACATAATAGTGAATTACATTTGTATCAATTGAAACATAAATCCATCATAGCGTTAAATACTGAAGAAATGATTAAATGCCAAAATAACATTTATTTTGTTCAGTCTGCATAAGTAATAATATTGAACATCAAAGTGGATAATGGCAAGCACAAACATAATTATTGACCACATCGGTTTTAGAATTATCTAGTATTAAGCTGACAATAAACATTCATCACCCCGGCCATTGAAATACCATAGAAATTATTTTTAATGCTTTAGCTGCATGAAAAAACAATGACACTCAAACCTTCAGTATAGAGGTTCCGGCTGGCTCGTTTTCCTTAACAACTCCGAACGATGTTTCTGTTATAAATGAAGGAGCTACGTCGTCTTCATCCGTCACATTAACCTCAACTATAGCTTGACTGGATCGTGCAGGTGATCCACCTTATACATTAGATAAAAATCTAGGCTTAATATAGAGTTGACATGGAAATAAACTAATTGAGTAGTACTGTCCATATACAATTCGGATTAAGAAACTAGCAAGCAACCTTTGCGATAGTTCACTGAGTAGATGCAACTGCTCGATAGTTCAAAAACGGTATGCATTTTTTCTGATAATACAAATATAAGATACAACAGTAAAATGATGAAATAGATTTGTACTGTTGTGACAGTACAGTTAAATGAACCACTAACCATTGGTCACCTCTACTTCAAATATATATACACCTGCTGTCGTGATAGAACACTGATCTACTCACCTCCAGTCACCTCTTCAACTAATATGTACATTTGCTGTCGCGATAGTACATTGATCTACTAACCACCAGTCACCTCTACCACTAATATGTACATTTGCTGTCGTGATAGTACACTGATCTACTTACCTCAAGCCACCTCTACCACTAATATGTACATTTGCTGTCGTGTTAGGACACTGATCTACTTACCTCCAGTCACATCTACCACTAATATGTACATTTGCTGTCGTGATAGTACACTGATCTACTTACCTCCAGTCACCTCTACCACTATTATATACATTTGCTGTCGTGATAGTACACTGATCTACTCACCTCCAGTCACCTCTACCACTAATATGTACATTTGCTGTCGTGTAAGGACACTGATCTACTTACCTCCAGTCTCCTCTACCACTAATATGTACATTTGTTGTCATTATATCTCCATGATCTACTTACCGTCGGTCACCTCTATCACCAATATGTATTCCTTCTGTCGCTCGTAGTCCAAGCATGTTTTATTGAGGACGGAAATCTCCCCAGACGTGGTGTTAATCCCGAAAGTTCCACACTTATCATTGCCGCCCTCTATGCTATACCCCAGACTTGACATGCTATCCTCATCGAAGGCTCGTACCTGTTATCATACACCACTTATATATGAGTCTACGACGACATAACGTCTTTTGTGTCGACAATTTACACAAATCAATGCATTCGGACAATTATATTAGTATCATATTTCCACAGTAGTCCAAGATTTCAGAAGGCCATTTCATATTTCATAAAATATATTTCTCTTATTAGAAAATGTTTTTTTATATTAAGTGTTTTTGTACAGTATCGAAATTAGATATAGCGTATAAGGTTCAAAATAAAACATTCAAATCATTTTATAACAGTCAAATGCGTTTTTTCTATTCACCAATCAATGTTTTCCATACATGAAATTATTCAAGTAAAAATCGGAACATAAAACACTCGTTGCAAAAGGTAAAGTACCTGTAGAAAACATGAACCTTGCCGAATTTCACATTGAACAACAAAATAGAATATGACATTATGATAACATGACAAATATTGTAAAACATTGTTTGTATTATCAAATAAAGGACCGCTCGAAGTAAAATGATAATAAAGCAAGAAACTGGAAGAGTAAGCGTCTTCAGCTTCATCGACGACACCTGCCATGTAAACCTTGGTCAATCCAAGTTAGAAAGGTCACGTTCTCAAATGATAACAAGGTATACAACAACAAAACCCACAGGCAAACTGACGAACATCAAACATTGAAATTGAAAATGGTCTGACAAACTTAATAAATAAAAGTTATGGCAAAATACATTTGAAAGATTAAAATATATTTAACACTTAAATGAAACGCATCAACAAGTCCACCCAAAGCAAATCACATACATGAATAGATATCAAATCACTCGTTACATGGCGTTTTCTGGACTGAGATACGTGTGAGATATGGATACCTGAATAAGAGGCTGACCAGTCGCCGTGTTCTCTCTGATGCTTTTTCTGTAGGTAGAGCTATTGAATAGAGGAGTATTGTCGTTCACGTTCAATACACTGACGGTGACAGTAGCTGTTACACTGTTCGTACCGTCCGAAGCTGTCACTGCATCAGTTAGAACACGTTGTTCCGGGTTTTCATAATCAAGTATAACAGAGGTGAATATATCACCAGTTGTCTTATCGATCTGTATCACTGAAACAGTACAGAAACAGTAATAAAGGAGTTTTATTCAACACTTACTGTAAATAATAAAGACAACAATTGTAAGACTGTACTACGTCCATAACGTATTAGTAATGTACCTGGTTTCATAAGGAAATATCATACAGAGAAGACGCTGTGAAGCATAATGTAACACTACACTAGTAGCACAATATAAATACTCTATCGGGACAATTTAGATATTTCATGTCTAATAATAACCTTTGTTTTAAAGAAAAACGTATGTGATCAAGGGAAACAAGTATTGCAATTATAATCTGATTTTAGTTGTGTAAAACAGTTCGTATATTAAATATAAAATATAAACTTTATTTATTTTACAACAATTGCGAAACAAGTTATGTCAACTTATACTAATCACTCTTGTTGGCCCGGATGTAAGCGCGCGAGGGGTCTTATTGTGGGAGGAAACCGGAGTACCCGGGGAAAACCCACGTGGTCCGGCAGGTGGCCCCTTACCTTTTCACGTCCGTTCCGGGAATCGAACCCCGGTCGGCTTGCGCCACCGGACCACCCTATATTACAATGTTTAAGTACAATGTTAAGGTTTAATGATATTTTCGACTGTACTAACATTTGGACTCCGACAGAGAAAATGTTAGTCTGCCATAGATATCGTCATCCAAGTCTGTAGCCGAAACATGTCCCACAAAATATTGCTTCTGCTCTTCCTCCGGTATCTCAAACATGTACGTCTGGTTCGAGAAGATAGGATATTCATCGTTGGCATTCTGAATCTCTACTGACACGATAGTAGATCTACAATTACAAATAAATCAATGTATAAAACCGTCTGGTATATATTCAGAAACAACATAGTAGTCAAAGGTAGATGTAACTAGAAAAGTATTAGGAAGTCCAACAGTGAAGTCCGTTTGGTCGTTACGTGAGGATTTCTCAATACATAGCCACCTCATGCTAATATCTCTAATATTCTGATTATCTTGTCTTTTTTATTATTTCCAAGTCCAGGCATATATACAAGGCCATGACAACACTTTACACCATACTGTTACTATTGTCATTTTTTATGTCTTATTATCTTCATATTTACCCCGTCAGCTGAGGCGAACCTTTATCCAAAGCCATCACAACGATATCAAAATGTCGCACTCCACGATCATAGTCCAGGAGTGTCGAATTTTTAACCAGTATATCTCCATTTTCGGAGTCCACTTCAAATATCTGCAGAGCAACGAATAGGAGCAAAACATTTTTTTGGTGTCTAGTAAAGCAATATTTCACAATGAGACATGAGATTTACTAGACTTCATGCAATGTTGTAGTAAAGGTAAACATGTAAACAAAGTAGGCCTAAATACGGTACTCTGCGATTAGAATAGAGAAGAATACTACGTAGTCTTTCAATAAGTACCAAACAAAAATTTGATAAGTGAATACGAAAAGGTTGATTGAAACCATTCGGAGGCAAAATCGGAAGAAAGGAAAGATTATTGGAAAATAATGAATAAAACCATGTATCCTAACAGAAAACAAGTTAATCAATTATATACGTTTATCAAATAAGTGTTACGTTCCACTGAATAATTCGTACTGAGAAACTAACCACTAAAATATACCAACGAGCTGTAAAATGTCGTACTTCATATTGCTAATGAAATATAATATCACAGGAAAGAGCACAAAATTATCAATACACATAGGCGATTCCTAAACCAGGATATGAATTTAAGAACGGAAGAGGATGCAAGCATGGACGCCGTAATTATAATATTGTATCAAAGTTACAATCCGAACAACAAATTCAAGACATTGTTCACGATAGTATCAATCTGAGTGAGTTCCTCTCATATCCTGAAACACCGTAATATTGTTTAGTATACAGTTTCCATTTACTACGCTCGTGTAAATTTACGGCGGACAGATAGTAATATATGTACATTACCCGAGACGTGTTAGCTAATGTGTATGTCAGTATATCACCAGCATCAGCATCACTAGCCTTCACTTTACAACCGAACTCTCCTGTCACGTTCTCTAGTACTGAGCACATCGTTATTCCTGCAATATAGACAAAAACTGATTAGAGATAAGTGGAATCGCTAGACAATTTATATAACGTTTATTAGATAAATTAAAGCATTGTTCATGATTTCCTGCTTCTACCGAGAATAAATGACAATTGAACAGGAACTTAGAGGGATTTTCAAACACACATCCAGCGCATCACTAATTTGTCTACTACATAACTGACTAAAAGAAAGGGAGCAGTTGTCAGAGCTTGGTGTGTAATGTAGAAATGCATGCTAATGTTTTAGCATGTCTAAAGAAGAAATGCACACATGATCTTTAAGAAATTACTTCAAAAACAAACAATAAGAAGAAAACCATCGATGTATTAGCGCTGAACATTGACACAAAAGACCATACATTCTTTGGATTATTTTATCCGAAAATTATTTTATACACATTCTGGTTGTTGCATTCACCTGATGTAAAAATAGGCGTGTTGTCGTTGATGTTCTGTATATGAATATTCACGTCTGCGATGGCATTGTGTTGTTTGTTATCATTTATGTTCAGGTGACCATCGCTAGCAGATATCTACAAGGAAAAAAATTCCGTTTGGTACATTTGATGCTAACACATCAGATCGTTTTTCATGTAGATAGGTAGCATTTGTGAAATAAATTAAGTAACCACGACCTTGAGACATTAACAATTTATAGTATAACAAGTTAATACCACCACAGCGATATTAGTTAGGAAGTTTGATAAAACAAACTTTAATACCACCACTGCGATATTAGTAAGGAAGTTTGATAAAACAAACTTTAATACCACCACAGCGATATTAGTTAGGAAGTTTGATCAAACAAACTTTAATACCACCACAGCGATATTAGTTAGGAAGTTTGATCAAACAAACTTTAATACCACCACAGCGATATTAGTTAGGAAGATTGATAAAACAAACTTTAATACCACCACAGCGATATTAGTTAGGAAGATTGATAAAACAAACTTTAACACCACCACAGCGATGTTAGTTAGGAAGTTTGATCAAACAAACTTTACATACTGGAAATGATTTTTCCATAGGTTTTCTTCTGATTCCCGATCGAGAAATAAATACTTTGCAATCACAACGGTAGGTATAGTTTTGAGCAAAATGATACCCGCAAAGTCTGTATAGTGATATGATAAATTGATATTGCCATATCAGCATGTTCATAAGTTTCATATAAATGTAAATCACACTATCAGGTCTCTGATTTCATGATAAGTGATTATAAAACAATTTTACTACAGTGGTAATACTGTAGGCAAGTTCAGTACTCACTGTTAGAGATAAAATCTTTTCCCTTTCATAGTCTAAAGGTGATTTAAGCCACAGGCGGCCAGTGTTGTGATTAATGGCGAAGTATGAGCTGCCGTTTCCCTGCACTATTGTGTAAGTTACCGTGTTGAATTCAGCACTAGTGTCTGCATCCGTGGCGTTAATTCTATCGAAACAAACATTAACGGTTAACATAAGTTGACTTTACTGTAGAATTCAGGAACTGTTAGAAGTATGAAAGTGCAGTCATATTTCGTGAAAATTATAATTGTGTAAAAAAGCTTAAAAGTGTCCTTTATTATACTATTAAATGCAAATATGCACTACACATGATTCTTTAGCATCTAAACCATCGCAAACTTTCACGCGTAACAATTAAAATATCTTATTGTGAACATTAAATATGTTAAATATACATATATATGAGAAGTCATATCTTGACAGAATCGTTTGGTTGTAGAGCAGATACCCGGGTGTAAAGTAAAGCTCTCCTAGAGTATGGTTTTCCAGCAAATCTAGTGTATATAAGGTGCTTTCAAACACTGGATTGTGGTCGTTTACATCCTGCAAGAACAACGAATTATGAAGAAAAATACATTCAAATAGTGAAACTGATACGACTTTATAACTTATTGCACAGATAACAGAAACAAAAACAACATTAGTACATTGTATAGTTAACGCTATCCAGGATACCAATATGCCATAGAAACGCATAGATTGAACCAGAATAATAAGTTGAACACAGAAACAAGCAAAATAATGCCGACGTATGAACAGAGATAAGGTAAATACACGTGTTAATTAAGTGATGTTGTAATGAATCAACATTTAGACCAAAGTCTATATCAAGAACAAATAAATCGATACCAAATAAAAAAAAACTAAACTAAAGTGATGAAATAGTAATTTAAAACGAAATCTCTCTGTACCTTTCAATATCATTACGGTTCATGTTCACGCAAGCATAAAATATTTTGTTTACCTATGAAAGATCAGGTGACTCTGTAGTCGATATACCGATGTCATATATTTTTAGAACCGTTTAGGTGAACCATTTCTTTCCTCGCTCATGTTTGTTATTTGATGACTCATTACTCCGAATACTCAGCTACACATTTCATTTTGACAAGGTTGCCGGATTGAAGTATATTACTTGTCTACTTAATATTCACGGTCGCGTGTGACGAAACGACTGTTGGAGAGCACAGTGATAACTTTTCAATTCATTACCACCAGTGGCTGCATAAATATTATACTTATCATACATTATCTATTCCGTCACCACTGATGTGACCACTAGGTGGAGCTAGCGATAGTGTTATTTACTTACCTGGACATGGACACTGATGGTCTGGATGTTGTTGTCGGTTGAAATCCCCTCATACTTTTCCACATTAACAGCCTCTATGGTTATGTTGTACATTCCCACGTCTAGGTCGCCCTGACATTCCAGAGAGTAATTATTCTTTATATTGAATATACCAGTTCCTTCGATTATTTTGAACCAGGTTTGCTTGTTTTTTCCTTCATCTTTATCGACAACCTGAAAATATATTTACGTTTCTTAAAGATAATATCACTGTTCTTGATGATTTCAAATACAAGATACATAATTTTTTAGCAATAAGCATAATTTGATACAATCCGCCTTATCTTTGTAAGACCCTTAACCGATATTATCACTTGTCCTTGAGTTCATGTTTTTGTTCATGATTCTCTAAAAAGGAAAAAAATATAAAAACTTTAAGTAGAATTGTTATTGTCAGAGCAAAATATTGTTACTATCTGACACAAACTGAAAGGTAACCATTACGTATTCAAAACCACCACCCTAGATGTAAAATAGAATTCAGCAGATACGGTTAACTGACCGTGAGATTGTGAAGTGGTGATGGACATTGTCCCTCTGCGATGGTATAGGAAACAGACGATTGTACAAATGTGGGTTGGTGGTCATTCACATCGTTGATGCTGACAATAACGAGCGTGGTACCAGTAAGTTGCGGTGATCCTGTGTCCACAGCCATAACGATCAGTTCTACCTGATCATCTCTCACAGAAGGACTTTCTCTGTCCAGTACTCCCACCGTATAGATATCACCACTCGTTGAATTAATAGTGACGTTGGACGACCTGACAACGACAGAACATCGAAACATACAATAAAAATGTCACTTATTCTGAAATTTCTCATTAATGTTTATCTTATTTGTGTAGTCGTCTTGGATATCGTACTTCTTTTCTTATTATTAAAAATACGTGAATTGTATTATCCTTTTGCTAAAACATTTAAAACATTGTACAAAAGACACACAACAAAGTTATAAATAAGATAAAGCAGAGCCAAAATTATTGATTACATGCATCATACAGCTGTATTGTTCTTCTTGGCTCGTCAGTAATGCAAAGGGCCTTCACTTCAAAGACTTTGAAGCGAGTGACGAAAAATCCAAAGTGATCAAAATATCAAGTCAAGATGGGAAAGTACTTAAACTGCATAATTCAATAGATTTTGTAATTTACACATATTTCATAATTTCAAAAGAACGTCTAGTACATGTTTATGTTTTGAACTGTGCCGCTATCCGAATGAATTAAAACTCCGTCACCTTATACTGTAGTGATCATAGACACGTTCGTGGAGATCACACGTGACACCATAATGTACTCTCACTTTGGCAAGATATTATCACATATCAACATTGTTGACATAAACGTATCATTGAAAATGTTTCATACAAACTTCGTCCTTGATTCCCTGTTGACGATGTGAAGGATGCTATATATGATTGAGTTTCTGTTATGTTACTTGGAAATTTTAATCCACTGTTGTATGCTAGACAGTTTTATTCTGTTGACTTACCACAAAGTCGGCACCATGTAAAACAGTTGCTTGTTTATAGGATCAATGTCTTCATCTGTGGCCTAAAATTTACATGACTTAATATGAATATATTGATATTATGTTACAATAAACAGTTTTTTATAAAAGAAATAGTTAAACTTTAGAAGAGAATGAAAGTGGAAATCATTATCAATGTTTTTTCATCGTAACAGCAATTGTCATTGTGCATATACACAGCAAACCAACTCTTCAAAATTAAATTTTGCTTGATGAACATCAATAATTGGTTTAACTAGAAGGTCAACAGCATTTCAATATATATAACTTACTTTTACATTTCCAACGAAAATGTTGTTCTGTTCTTCGACGACATTAAACGTATAAGTGGAATTCTCAAACCTTGGAAGATTGTTGTCAACATCAGTCACATGCACGGTCACTGTACCAGTCTCCATCTAACACAACCATTATAATCACATTAGAACTTATCTAGAGCACTGCAGATGTATTCGGCAGTTTGAATAACAAGATTGTGTAAGTTACAAGTTTATTTTCATCTCACTTATTGAAACTATCTTGGATTAGAGAAAAAACATACATAACTGATCAATGGTCAGTTCTTTCAAACTGAATATCATAATGACAAAACTAATAAAAACAAATTGATAGACCAACTAGTTGACTGTTTATCAGTTTTTATTCTAGAAAAAATCAACGGTCGGTGTTATTATGATCAATTTAACCTGGTCTGTTTCCTTTGTACATGTGTATCTTAGATATTTTGCCTTAATTGTCTACGATATCATTTGAATGCCTATGAAGAACATTGGCTGTTATCAAATACTCACATGTACCCCATCGCTTACACTGACATCAAATTCGAATGTTGTTGTTGCACTTGAATTGACATGTCCTTTAATCCTTACTAATCCACTAAATATAAAATAATTGTCAATACCAGATCATTCAGATAAAGAAAATATTGATATTGCAATCGCTTTGTAAACTATACACAAGAACATGCGTTATTATCATTAAGCGTGACATATTACTTCAGATATTTTCACGCATAATTCCAGTGGCCTTCAGCTTTAAAGATTATGCAGCCTCAATATTTCCTGTTGATATGTATATCAGAGGACCTGTCATAAAATTACCTTGCGTTGATGATACTGATCTGTGAATCAGAAGAAATGTTGTAAAATAAAATCGAGTCCATGTCGCCATCAGTTGCCTATGGGAGACAAAACATGTATTTGACTTTCTGCTAATGGCAAAATGAAATCAGCTTTAGATAATTGAATCGTCCTGAATTTTATGAAAGAATTGGCTCGAATCAGTAGGTTAAATTAATATGCTAAAGAAACCATTTCATAAACTCCAATTCAGAACGATCAGAATTTATTAAATATAATAAAGGATTACTATACCACTCTAAAGACCATACTGCTTGAAAAACCTATCAGTGAAATATTACCATACAGACATGTAGAATGCAGATCCTTGAACACATCTTACTTGGATATAGAATGATGGGTTTTCCATGTCCTCCGATATCGTCGGATTTAAGGAAGAATTGATGAAGACAGGGACTTCGTCGTTGACATTTGTTACAGCAACAGAAATTGGCCACGTAGCATTATATTCACCATCAGTTACGGTAACATGCACGTGTATCAGTCGATTGCTGTTATTTTCGTAATCGAATTTCCTCGTAGATAACAGTATTCCGGTGTTATTTTGGATTAGGAAATCTAGAAAAAATGAGTGATACCTAATAAGATATCTATTAACGTTAAAAATACTTGGTATCCAATAAATGATGTGTTCTAAGAGGAAATCCGCGAAGTTTAATTAATTACAGTTTCATATACGCGATACCATGTTTTAGAATCATCTCTGTCTGTGACATGTTTAACGATACAATGATATGTCATAATTCTTACTTGTATTATCATCCAAAGAAAATACTAAAACACTGCTGATATCAACGTCAGTGGCGAATACGGCTCCAATCGACGTGTTGGCGGGTAGATTCTCCTCAATGCTGAAGTGACTTGGGCCATGAATAACAGGCGGATTGTCGTTTATGTCCTTTAAAAAAACTTCTACCACGGCAGATCTTCAAATGTAAAAACATAATCAGGTCACATCTGCAGAATAATATGCATGATGATTACACATATCGAAGACAATATGTTGTCTGTATCCAATAATTTTTCAGCAAATTACTTTCCAGGCCTTTCTGGACTATTTCAATTGGAACATTTTTTTCTTTTGTAATGAAAATATCACAATGTTACTTAAGTACAAGTTTTCTTTCGTATGGGAGCTGATCAAATTTTACAGCTTCCTCTTTAATGTAATCGTATCCTGGTTTGTTTATAGTAACTTACTAGGTGTATGTCAGTTTAGGTACAGATTTGGATAAATATCATACAAATTCAATCAGTTAACTGGTTGAGAGAGGAAATTGGACACTATCACAAACAAATTTTGAACACTAGGGCTGCAGTCAATCAAAATATATGTAAATGAATAATTATTTTTTCGTGCCATTATTGGGTCAAATTTTGTGGAAATCTTCTATTAATGATACCATGTTATTTTAAAAACATGTATTCACGTTAGAGTCACAACTTTAATGTAACAATCATTATTATTGCTATGAAAACCTATGCACAGGTAGTAATTGTCATCGAGAATACATCGCGCATATCTATCATAGTATATTATGTTCCCAAAATACCTACCCGTTCTTTCTGGGACTGCCATTATCTGTAGCCAATATCTTCAATATGTAAGTTCGTACACCTGTATCATAATCCAGAAGCGACCTGGGGCTAATAACGCCGGTTGAATTTTCAATTTTGAAAACAGACTGGAAGTCCAGAAAGAAAGTGTCATAATATATAACATCACCAATTACAGAAAATTAGAAGAAAGTTTAGTGCTTAATATTCACTGTTCAAATAAATGAAAAAAAGTGATATGCATGCTATCAGATTAGGAGATGTAAATCTAAATCATATTCATGTCCTATGTCCACTGTAATATGTTTTCGTAATAATACAATGAACTAACTTTACAGAAGACAATATACTCTGAATAAGTTACCTTCATGGGACCCTGTATTGAATACGATATTATTCCATTTTTCCCATCGTCCTCGTCGGTGGCATTAACATCTAAATTGCATGTGATTGATGTTGTGGCATTCTCGAAGACTGTGCAGTTATAGATGGCTGTAAAGTAATGCAATATGTGAATTAAAAAAAAAAAAAACTAAATAAAGACTTATTTCATCCCCGAAATCTTAACCTTGATACCGATCATATAATCTTATATATCATATGACATCTTTCAAAACAATTTATTTTTCAGATCTCCACACCAACACACCTCATTTTCATCTGAAAGAACGCCTTTTTTCTCTTGTAATGGGATATTTCTCTTCCAAGAAAGGGGAACGGATGTACACCTATATGGTTGCAATTTCATCAGAAGCATATTTCGTGAAAATACGTCGAGATCAAAGAAGAAATTTAACGGAGGAAGAATTCATCAAAATGATCGAGCATTTGGTTGACAACATCTTCTTCATTCCAAACCACTATTATCATACTAGGGGAACTTACTTTTGCCCCTCTGTTGTCTGATTTATTTAATTATTGGTTGTTTTCTATACAAATAACAGATCACAAAGGCCTCGGAAATCAAGGAAACGACAGTCTCCTCTATAACAGGGATACATCTTATGCCGAACATTGATTGCTCTGCACCAAGCTTTTTGACAACCACGATGATTTCAATTTCCCTATTTTCTTTTCTTTTTTTCTGGATAGCGGCATCCTCGCATTTCTTACATATGGTGGTTATATATGACAATTGATTTGATATTCAAGGCTTTGTTCCCAGTATCATGATTTTCATTAAAGATTTCGTCAACTGACATACAAACCCATGGAATAGCTTTTCAAAGACAAAGGCCTGGATAATCATGTGGACGTTTTACGGTAGTCATAGCGTTCTCGTGGAGTAATATTCTATTTCTGAGTTTAAACAATGGAATAATTACTCAGAGATTGGTTTATATAGCGGAGTGATCACACAAGGAAATGTCTGGAGTGATACAGATGACAAAATAGCAGGACAGCGAAGATTGATGATATATCAAAAGAGTGATGAAATAATACAGGGATCAGTGCTGAGACAAGGAACCGAGAAATACATAAAACCGAGTCATTGGTGCTGATAAAATAAGCCGCTGAATGATAGTGTTGGATTAGTAGAAACATTAATGATAATACAGGACTAAATTATAATGGCTCCAAAAAGGATAAACACGAACCTGACGAAAACACAGGGGCGTGGTCGTTGACATCTAGGACTTTAACACTAACGTTGACGCTGACTTGGTGTGCAATGTCTCCATCACTCGCTATCACCTGAATAAACCATTATCCTTTTGTAAAACATTGTCATGTTGCACAAATAAATATGTATTCGATATGAAAGTATAAATACTACGAAATACAACAAAAATTGTTGTAAATCTGATTAATTGATATTTTGGCAAAGACAACAAAATATATGTTTTTATTTAGGGATATCTATCTTTTTCTTCACGGATAGCTTGGTTTACGTACCTGAAAATTTACACGCTTTTCCTTCTCATAGTCAAGTGGTTTTATAAGTCGTAGTGCAGCACTTTCTGGATCAATTTCAAAGTAGTCATTTCGACCCGCCATAGAGTAGGTGACGGTGTTATACTCCTGAGACTTATCTAGATCTTGTGCATATATGTGGCTAGGACAAACAATAGTAGTAATATAACGTTAACTGTTATCAATATCTGTGAGAAAATGCAGCTACCTGTCAATTCATCATATGGGATGTAGTTTCAAACTAAGAGAAAATTCTTTTGCTTCTAAATATATTATAAATTGCACCGATGCATTGTCAAATAAGACATCAATACAGATTGTTTGATTAACGGCAAACATATATGTACAAGGGTTAAAATTATCACCTTCCTGAAAAAAACGCATATATTAACTATCACCTACATTAAGATTGAAATGTTACAGAGTCGGTAGCAGTAGTCACTAAAATTATATCAAATTTTAAATGAAATAAAGAGGATGACTTTATAATTAGCATCGTGAAAATACAGTAAAAATGTCACAAACTTTAAATAACTTCCAGAAAAAAATGGAAAAAGCATAACCATTCTGTATTTATCGCTGAAACGCATACTGATTAATACTCAATTCACATGAAATATTAATCTATGATATTTCTAATATATTTTTATCTCCCGACTTACGTACAAACTACATGTACGTTTGTAGTTTAAACAATCGAATAAGAGTAAATAATTTATGATATCAGATATCAATATGATATCAATGCATGACGAACTTAATTAGAAAAACTGATTTACAGTCACAGTTTCGTTCTTGAAAAGGGATATATGACTGAATTTTGTGAGGGTTTAAAAATAGGTGAAAAGTTTGTATATACTACCTTTTATTCACTAAATGTCCGACCTGGAAATCTTCTGCTAATGAAAATTCGTAGGATGTCTGGTTAAACATTGGGCTTTGATCATTGATATCCTGGAAAAAAACCCAGAACATTACATCAAATAAACTGCTTTTTCGTTTCTATTTTAATTTTAAATTATTTACATACAACTCTGTTTTAAAATCATATCGATTGATTTCCTCCATTTTGCGATCAGCAAAATGTTTTGAAAAGGTCATTCCTAATTATTTAACTCGAACAAACCTTGACGTATATAAAGACCGTCATTGTGCCGTTTTCCAGTTCTGGTGGTATATATGGAACAGTGTTGAAGGCAATGATTTTCGCCTCATACACCCCGTATGTCAACGGGGCCGTAGATATCAGTGTTCCGTGTATTATCTCAAGTGAGGTGGCGTTAGTTTGTACAATGTACTGGACATTTCTGTTCTCACCTTCATCTTCATCATATGCCTGAAATTGAATAGAACTCTCATGTGAAGTACATCTATTACTATTGCCAAAATTATCTGTAATTTTTTTTTTTTAAATCCTTTATCTTAATGTTCTTACCTCTATCGTAACTGATAGGTTTCCTCCTTCGACACTGGTTATGTTCATTAAGTTGTTACTGAAGTGAGGCGCGTGGTCGTTAACGTCATTCACCTTTATACATACTGTGACTACAGACATCAGAGAAGGCGTTCCTAAATATTGTGCCATTACCAGTAATGTAATTTCATTGGAAGTTGAGGTTAAGTTTTCTCTGTCCAATGCCGCTATGATGTGTATCTGTCCTGTTTGGTTTATTGCAAAGGTACTATTCCTGTAAGAAATTATAATGCTTAAATATTGACGATGAGAAATGGCATGTAATTTTGTTACAGATACGAGTGAATTGACAATAAAACTGACACGATCGAAAATATCTTGTTCCATATAACACATATGCTTTATCATGAAATGCACAGTGATTTGTGACAGTGGACAATCTAATTTAATCCATCTAGATAATATAACTTAAAGAAAACATAATTGTATTTTGGTAATAAAGGTCTATAGGTTATTACCATGGTGGCAATGTTGAATACCGCACCCTGCCATTGTCACCAAGATCTTCGTCGATTGCCTGGTAAAATATGCCATGTAATGAACGATTTAACATATTGATAGATCACAAATATTATAATACGTATTCTTATGAAGTAGAATATCAATTAGATACTTGATATTCTTTAAGCATTTTATGTCGATTTTCTGTTTTAACAGCATAAAACTAGGAAACTACTTGTTTTGCTATGTTGAAATGAAAAGAAATTACATTCTCCCATTTACAAATTTAACAACTTCTGAAACTAAATTATGTTACTGGGTGTGTGCCGGGAAAGGTTTAGTAAAAGAAGAAATCTCAGTTATAATCAAAATAGTATATAGAATAACTCCTTTTAGATTAACATCAAAATAACGGCATTCAATTCTTTAAACTCCAAAATGTGATTTTACCAACATAGCTATACAAACACATTCGGCAATTGTAAAGGCAACCTTCCTCACATAATAGTAATCACACTTTAAATACGATAGAAAAAAACTTAATTGACAGATCATTGTGCTGCCTTACCTTCACTTGGCCTACTATGATATCTTCCTCTTCTTCATCGACATCAAACGTATAAGTGGAATTTTCGAACCTTGGGACATTGTCATTAACAAAAATAACTTGTACAGTGGCAGTGGCACTGACTATCTGTAACAGGACAGTGACATAATGATTTGATGTATTATCATACTTTTAAAAATAAGCCTGTAAATCACTGCATTACCAATAAGCGTTAGAAATCTGAAAATATGATACCGAAACAAGAAGGTTTATCTATTAATCCAACGAATTTGTGTTGACATATGACATTACCTATACGAGACACTGTAAGAAAATTACAGATATGATGAACATTTCTACCTCAAGGAAGAGACAATATCAGAAGGAATGGATAATAACATGAATACCACCACAGCGCAGTATGATTGAAAATTTTATTTAGGAATGTTTTTCATCACAATATGGATCTCCAACTATTATATAGTTGGTAGCTTGCATGTGAGCAACTGCATATCCGTGTGTTTTGACGATTTCTCTTTGTTTGAAAGAGGTCATTTAGAATTAACTGACCTGATCATATTCATACACAATGGAGCCGAATATAATTTAAATCAGTTCGTATATGAAAGTATTTGACCCAGGATCCAACTTAAGTACTCACATGTTTTCCATCCGACACACTGACATTGAAAGCGATATCCTTGTCCAATGAACTGATTGACCCTCCGATCGTTACTAAGCCACTGGTAGAAAATAATGCACTTGATCATTGCCTCATGGAATTTATGTTTGAACATTCATTGTTGTATTGCATTGTCATCTACGCGTGATATAGATGAGTGTATCTTGACATCCCAATCAGATAATGCCATTACACTATGACGACATCAACCAAAGTTCGTTAAAACCATTAGACATTTCCTGGCTATTTCGACACCAGCAACACTTATCGTCTGATCAACAAAATGATTATTTGTACAAACATGGCAGGAAATCTTCTCGATTCCAACAAATCTCTTGTACACATAAGATGCCAATAAATGTTGGTTATTTTTACCATTCTGACCTAAAGGTTTTACTTCTTTGGGAGTAAAACCAATATTCATTACATTGACATACGAATAGTAACGATATACAGTGTATAATTGTCTCTATCAGAGTTTGGTAAATCATTTATTCGTCACTTGCTAATCCCTTACCTTGATCTTGTTATGTTAATATGTGGGAAATTTGAGGAGATGTTGTAAGACAGCGTAGAGTCAATATCAGCATCCGTCGCCTGTGTTAAAGAACATGTATTTGTCATGTCTGTTAAACAGCGAATGGACAAAACACGATCAGTGTAAAGTGGATATACAATCAATCTGTACAACAAGTCAACATTTGTTATACACTGATTCAGTGAAGATCATTACTCTATGCCATGCACTTCTTACCTGAATATAAAACGAAGGGCTATCCATGTCCTGTGATATTGTCGGATTTAAGGAAGAACGATCGAAGACAGGAATCTCGTCGTTGACATTCGTTATAGCTACAGAAATGGTTAATTCATCACTTTGTAAACCATCAGAAACAGTAACAATCACCTCCATCATCCGATCGATTTTCTTTTCGTAATCAAACTTCCTTTTTGTGAATAGTGCCCCGGTGTCGTTTTGAATATGGAAATCTGTTAATAAATAGTATATTTACATTTGCGCGGCCACTAAGTATGTGACAATTACCCCTAAGAACTCAATAGACTCTGGAAACAAGAATGTGTATATGGCATTGGGTAGAACATTATGTGTGAAGTAATCCGAACAACGGACGCTGATTCGCGGAAGTGGAACCGGGGTGTGAACATCATACTATACAAATATATCAAATATATTTTTTTCTTGCAATTTATTGGTCTCTCAATATCGATTGGGTCAGCTGGTAATCATAGATCATTTGAATTGAGTTACCACACCACGTAATTAGACGTCAACAAAACAAATAAACAAAACAAAAAAATAAAATAAAAACAAAACAAAAAACAATAAAACAAAAAAATAGAGGAAAAGTACAATGAGACTGAAGAAAAAGGCAGGACATTAATTCAATATGACAATCTTTAAATTGAAAGTAATCACATGTTTTATATTTATCTCTGTCTATGACATGTTTAATGATACAATTGATACAATTATAAAGCCACACATCTTACTTGTATTATTTGACAATGAAAAGACTAAAACACTGCTAATATCAACGTCAGTGGCGAATACGTTCCCAATCAACGTGTTGGCGGATAGATTCTCCTCAATGCTGAAGTGACTTGGGCCATGAATAACAGGCGGGTTGTCGTTCTTGTCATTTATAGAAACTTCTACCACGGCAGATCTTCAAATGTAAAAATATAATCAGGTCATATCTGCAGAATGATAGGCATGATGATTAACACATATCGCCGACATTATGTTGTCTGTATCAAATAATTTTTCAGCAAATTACTTTCCAGGCCTTTCTGGACTATTTCAATTGGAATATTTTTTTCTTTTGTAATGAAAATATCACAATGTTACTTAAGTACAAGTTTTCTTTCGTATGGGAGCTGATCAAATTTTACAGCTTCCTCTTTAATGTAATCGTATCCTGGTTTGTTTATAGTAACTTACTAGGTGTATGTCAGTTTAGGTACAGATTTGGATAAATATCATACAAATTCAATCAGTTAACTGGTTGAGAGAGGAAATCGGACACTATCACAAACAAATTTTGAGCACTAGGGCTGCAGTCAATCAAAATATATGTAAATGAATAATTATTTTTTCGTGTCATTATTGGGTCAAATTTTGTGGAAATCTTCTATTAATGATACCATGTTATTTTAAAAACATGTATTCACGTTAGAGTCACAACTTTAATGTAACAATCATTATTATTGCTATGAAAAACTATGCACAGGTAGTAATTGTCATCGAGAATACATCGCGCATATCTATCATAGTATATTATGTTCCCAAATACCTACCCGTTCTTTCTGGGACTGCCATTATCTGTAGCCAATATCTTCAATATGTAAGTTCGTACACCTGTATCATAATCCAAAAGCGACCTGGGGCTAATAACGCCGGTTGAATTTTCAATTTTGAAAACAGACTGGAAGTCCAGAAAGAAAGTGTCATAATATATAACATCACCAATTACAGAAAATTAGAAGAAAGTTTAGTGCTTAATATTCACTGTTCAAATAAATGAAAAAAAAAGTGATATGCATGCTATCAGATTAGGAGATGTAAATCTAAATCATATTCATGTCCTATGTCCACTGTAATATGTTTTCGTAATAATACAATGAACTAACTTTACAGAAGACAATATACTCTGAATAAGTTACCTTCATGGGACCCTGTATTGAATACGATATTATTCCATTTTCCCCATCGTCCTCGTCGGTGGCATTAACATCTAAATTGCATGTGATTGATGTTGTGGCATTCTCGAAGACTGTGCAGTTATAGATGGCTGTAAAGTAATGCAATATGTGAATTAAAAAAAAAACTAAATAAAGACTTATTTCATCCCCGAAATCTTAACCTTGATACCGATCATATAATTTTATATATCATATGACATCTTTCAAAACAATTTATTTTCCAGATCTCCACACCAACACACCTCATTTTCATCTGAAAGAACGCCTTTTTTCTCTTGTAATGGGATATTTCTCTTCCAAGAAAGGGGAACGGATGTACACCTATATGGTTGCAATTTCATCAGAAGCATATTTCGTGAAAATACGTCGAGATCAAAGAAGAAATTTAACGGAGGAAGAATTCATCAAAATGATCGAGCATTTGGTTGACAACATCTTCTTCGTTCCAAACCACTATTATCATACTAGGGGAACTTACTTTTGCCCCTCTGTTGTCTGATTTATTTAATTATTGGTTGTTTTCTATACAAATAACAGATCACAAAGGCCTCGGAAATCAAGGAAACGACAGTCTCCTCTATAACAGGGATACATCTTATGCCGAACATTGATTGCTCTGCACCAAGCTTTTTGACAACCACGATAATTTCAATTTCCTTATTTTCTTTTCTTTTTTTCTGGATAGCGGCATCCTCGCATTTCTTACATATGGTGGTTATATATGACAATTGATTTGATATTCAAGGCTTTGTTCCCAGTATCATGATTTTCGTTAAAGATTTCGTCAACTGACATACAAACCCATGGAATAGCTTTTCAAAGACAAAGGCATGGATAATCATGTGGACGTTTTACGGTAGTCATAGCGTTCTCGTGGAGTAATATTCTATTTCTGAGTTTAAACAATGGAATAATTACTCAGAGATTGGTTTATATAGCGGAGTGATCACACAAGGAAATGTCTGGAGTGATACAGATGACAAAATAGCAGGACAGCGAAGATTGATGATATATCAAAAGAGTGATGAAATAATACAGGGATCAGTGCTGAGACAAGGAACCGAGAAATACATAAAACCGAGTCATTGGTGCTGATAAAATAAGCCGCTGAATGATAGTGTTGGATTAGTAGAAACATTAATGATAATACAGGACTAAATTATAATGGCTCCAAAAAGGATAAACACGAACCTGACGAAAACACAGGGGCGTGGTCGTTGACATCTAGGACTTTAACACTAACGTTGACGCTGACTTGGTGTGCAATGTCTCCATCACTCGCTATCACCTGAATAAACCATTATCCTTTTGTAAAACATTGTCATGTTGCACAAATAAATATGTATTCGATATGAAAGTATAAATACTACGAAATACAACAAAAATTGTTGTAAATCTGATTAATTGATATTTTGGCAAAGACAACAAAATATATGTTTTTATTTAGGGATATCTATCTTTTTCTTCACGGATAGCTTGGTTTACGTACCTGAAAATTTACACGCTTTTCCTTCTCATAGTCAAGTGGTTTTATAAGTCGTAGTGCAGCACTTTCTGGATCAATTTCAAAGTAGTCATTTCGACCCGCCATAGAGTAGGTGACGGTGTTATACTCCTGAGACTTATCTAGATCTTGTGCATATATGTGGCTAGGACAAACAATAGTAGTAATATAACGTTAACTGTTATCAATATCTGTGAGAAAATGCAGCTACCTGTCAATTCATCATATGGGATGTAGTTTCAAACTAAGAGAAAATTCTTTTGCTTCTAAATATATTATAAATTGCACCGATGCATTGTCAAATAAGACATCAATACAGATTGTTTGATTAACGGCAAACATATATGTACAAGGGTTAAAATTATCACCTTCCTGAAAAAAACGCATATATTAACTATCAACTACATTAAGATTGAAATGTTACAGAGTCGGTAGCAGTAGTCACTAAAATTATATCAAATTTTAAATGAAATAAAGAGGATGACTTTATAATTAGCATCGTGAAAATACAGTAAAAATGTCACAAACTTTAAATAACTTCCAGAAAAAAATGGAAAAAGCATAACCATTCTGTATTTATCGCTGAAACGCATACTGATTAATACTCAATTCACATGAAATATTAATCTATGATATTTCTAATATATTTTTATCTCCCGACTTACGTACAAACTACATGTACGTTTGTAGTTTAAACAATCGAATAAGAGTAAATAATTTATGATATCAGATATCAATATGATATCAATGCATGACGAACTTAATTAGAAAAACTGATTTACAGTCACAGTTTCGTTCTTGAAAAGGGATATATGACTGAATTTTGTGAGGGTTTAAAAATAGGTGAAAAGTTTGTATATACTACCTTTTATTCACTAAATGTCCGACCTGGAAATCTTCTGCTAATGAAAATTCGTAGGATGTCTGGTTAAACATTGGGCTTTGATCATTGATATCCTGGAAAAAAACCCAGAACATTACATCAAATAAACTGCTTTTTCGTTTCTATTTTAATTTTAAATTATTTACATACAACTCTGTTTTAAAATCATATCGATTGATTTCCTCCATTTTGCGATCAGCAAAATGTTTTGAAAAGGTCATTCCTAATTATTTAACTCGAACAAACCTTGACGTATATAAAGACCGTCATTGTGCCGTTTTCCAGTTCTGGTGGTATATATGGAACAGTGTTGAAGGCAATGATTTTCGCCTCATACACCCCGTATGTCAACGGGGCCGTAGATATCAGTGTTCCGTGTATTATCTCAAGTGAGGTGGCGTTAGTTTGTACAATGTACTGGACATTTCTGTTCTCACCTTCATCTTCATCATATGCCTGAAATTGAATAGAACTCTCATGTGAAGTACATCTATTACTATTGCCAAAATTATCTGTAATTTTTTTTTTTAAATCCTTTATCTTAATGTTCTTACCTCTATCGTAACTGATAGGTTTCCTCCTTCGACACTGGTTATGTTCATTAAGTTGTTACTGAAGTGAGGCGCGTGGTCGTTAACGTCATTCACCTTTATACATACTGTGACTACAGACATCAGAGAAGGCGTTCCTAAATCTTGTGCCATTACCAGTAATGTAATTTCATTGGAAGTTGAGGTTAAGTTTTCTCTGTCCAATGCCGCTATGATGTGTATCTGTCCTGTTTGGTTTATTGCAAAGGTACTATTCCTGTAAGAAATTATAATGCTTAAATATTGACGATGAGAAATGGCATGTAATTTTGTTACAGATACGAGTGAATTGACAATAAAACTGACACGATCGAAAATATCTTGTTCCATATAACACATATGCTTTATCATGAAATGCACAGTGATTTGTGACAGTGGACAATCTAATTTAATCCATCTAGATAATATAACTTAAAGAAAACATAATTGTATTTTGGTAATAAAGGTCTATAGGTTATTACCATGGTGGCAATGTTGAATACCGCACCCTGCCATTGTCACCAAGATCTTCGTCGATTGCCTGGTAAAATATGCCATGTAATGAACGATTTAACATATTGATAGATCACAAATATTATAATACGTATTCTTATGAAGTAGAATATCAATTAGATACTTGATATTCTTTAAGCATTTTATGTCGATTTTCTGTTTTAACAGCATAAAACTAGGAAACTACTTGTTTTGCTATGTTGAAATGAAAAGAAATTACATTCTCCCATTTACAAATTTAACAACTTCTGAAACTAAATTATGTTACTGGGTGTGTGCCGGGAAAGGTTTAGTAAAAGAAGAAATCTCAGTTATAATCAAAATAGTATATAGAATAACTCCTTTTAGATTAACATCAAAATAACGGCATTCAATTCTTTAAACTCCAAAATGTGATTTTACCAACATAGCTATACAAACACATTCGGCAATTGTAAAGGCAACCTTCCTCACATAATAGTAATCACACTTTAAATACGATAGAAAAAAACTTAATTGACAGATCATTGTGCTGCCTTACCTTCACTTGGCCTACTATGATATCTTCCTCTTCTTCATCGACATCAAACGTATAAGTGGAATTTTCGAACCTTGGGACATTGTCATTAACAAAAATAACTTGTACAGTGGCAGTGGCACTGACTATCTGTAACAGGACAGTGACATAATGATTTGATGTATTATCATACTTTTAAAAATAAGCCTGTAAATCACTGCATTACCAATAAGCGTTAGAAATCTGAAAATATGATACCGAAACAAGAAGGTTTATCTATTAATCCAACGAATTTGTGTTGACATATGACATTACCTATACGAGACACTGTAAGAAAATTACAGATATGATGAACATTTCTACCTCAAGGAAGAGACAATATCAGAAGGAATGGATAATAACATGAATACCACCACAGCGCAGTATGATTGAAAATTTTATTTAGGAATGTTTTTCATCACAATATGGATCTCCAACTATTATATAGTTGGTAGCTTGCATGTGAGCAACTGCATATCCGTGTGTTTTGACGATTTCTCTTTGTTTGAAAGAGGTCATTTAGAATTAACTGACCTGATCATATTCATACACAATGGAGCCGAATATAATTTAAATCAGTTCGTATATGAAAGTATTTGACCCAGGATCCAACTTAAGTACTCACATGTTTTCCATCCGACACACTGACATTGAAAGCGATATCCTTGTCCAATGAACTGATTGACCCTCCGATCGTTACTAAGCCACTGGTAGAAAATAATGCACTTGATCATTGCCTCATGGAATTTATGTTTGAACATTCATTGTTGTATTGCATTGTCATCTACGCGTGATATAGATGAGTGTATCTTGACATCCCAATCAGATAATGTCATTACACTATGACGACATCAACCAAAGTTCGTTAAAACCATTAGACATTTCCTGGCTATTTCGACACCAGCAACACTTATCGTCTGATCAACAAAATGATTATTTGTACAAACATGGCAGGAAATCTTCTCGATTCCAACAAATCTCTTGTACACATAAGATGCCAATAAATGTTGGTTATTTTTACCATTCTGACCTAAAGGTTTTACTTCTTTGGGAGTAAAACCAATATTCATTACATTGACATACGAATAGTAACGATATACAGTGTATAATTGTCTCTATCAGAGTTTGGTAAATCATTTATTCGTCACTCGCTAATCCCTTACCTTGATCTTGTTATGTTAATATGTGGGAAATTTGAGGAGATGTTGTAAGACAGCGTAGAGTCAATATCAGCATCCGTCGCCTGTGTTAAAGAACATGTATTTGTCATGTCTGTTAAACAGCGAATGGACAAAACACGATCAGTGTAAAGTGGATATACAATCAATCTGTACAACAAGTCAACATTTGTTATACACTGATTCAGTGAAGATCATTACTCTATGCCATGCACTTCTTACCTGAATATAAAACGAAGGGCTATCCATGTCCTGTGATATTGTCGGATTTAAGGAAGAACGATCGAAGACAGGAATCTCGTCGTTGACATTCGTTATAGCTACAGAAATGGTTAATTCATCACTTTGTAAACCATCAGAAACAGTAACAATCACCTCCATCATCCGATCGATTTTCTTTTCGTAATCAAACTTCCTTTTTGTGAATAGTGCCCCGGTGTCGTTTTGAATATGGAAATCTGTTAATAAATAGTATATTTACATTTGCGCGTCCACTAAGTATGTGACAATTACCCCTAAGAACTCAATAGACTCTGGAAACCAGAATGTGTATATGGCATTGGGTAGAACATTATGTGTGAAGTAATCCGAACAACGGACGCTGATTCGCGGAAGTGGAATCGGGGTGTGAACATCATACTATACAAATATATCAAATATATTTTTTTCTTGCAATTTATTGGTCTCTCAATATCGATTGGGTCAGCTGGTAATTATAGATCAACTGGATTGAGTTACCACACCACGTAATTAGACGTCAACGAAACAAATAAACAAAACAAAAAAATAAAATAAAAACAAAACAAAAAACAATAAAACAAAAAATAGAGGAAAAGTACAATGAGACTGAAGGAAAAAGGCAGGACATTAATTCAATATGACAATCTTTAAATTGAAAGTAATCACATGTTTTATATTTATCTCTGTCTATGACATGTTTAATGATACAATTGATACAATTATAAAGCCACACATCTTACTTGTATTATTTGACAATGAAAACACTAAAACACTGCTAATATCAACGTCAGTGGCGAATACGTTCCCAATCAACGTGTTGGCGGATAGATTCTCCGGAATGCTGAAGTGACTTGGGCCATGAATAACAGGCGGGTTGTCGTTCTTGTCATTTATAGAAACTTCTACCACGGCAGATCTTCAAATGTAAAAATATAATCAGGTCATATCTGCAGAATGATAGGCATGATGATTAACACATATCGCCGACATTATGTTGTCTGTATCAAATAATTTTTCAGCAAATTACTTTCCAGGCCTTTCTGGACTATTTCAATTGGAATATTTTTTTCTTTTGTAATGAAAATATCACAATGTTACTTAAGTACAAGTTTTCTTTCGTATGGGAGCTGATCAAATTTTACAGCTTCCTCTTTAATGTAATCGTATCCTGGTTTGTTTATAGTAACTTACTAGGTGTATGTCAGTTTAGGTACAGATTTGGATAAATATCATACAAATTCAATAGTTAACTGGTTGAGAGAGGAAATCGGACACTATCACAAACAAATTTTGAGCACTAGGGCTGCAGTCAATCAAAATATATGTAAATGAATAATTATTTTTTCGTGTCATTATTTGGTCAAATTTTGTGGAAATCTTCTATTAATGATACCATGTTATTTTAAAAACATGTATTCACGTTAGAGTCACAACTTTAATGTAACAATCATTATTATTGCTATGAAAAACTATGCACAGGTAGTAATTGTCATCGAGAATACATCGCGCATATCTATCATAGTATAATATGTTCCCAAAATACCTACCCGTTCTTTCTGGGACTGCCATTATCTGTAGCCAATATCTTCACTATGTAAGTTCGTACACCTGTATCATAATCCAGAAGCGACCTGGGGCTAATAACGCCGGTTGAATTTTCAATTTTGAAAACAGACTGGAAGTCCAGAAAGAAAGTGTCATAATATATAACATCACCAATTACAGAAAATTAGAAGAAAGTTTAGTGCTTAATATTCACTGTTCAAATAAATGAAAAAAAATGATATGCATGCTATCAGATTAGGAGATGTAAATCTAAATCATATTCATGTCCTATGTCCACTGTAATATGTTTTCGTAATAATACAATGAACTAACTTTACAGAAGACAATATACTCTGAATAAGTTACCTTCATGGGACCCTGTATTGAATACGATATTATTCCATTTTCCCCATCGTCCTCGTCGGTGGCATTAACATCTAAATTGCATGTGATTGATGTTGTGGCATTCTCGAAGACTGTGCAGTTATAGATGGCTGTAAAGTAATGCAATATGTGAATTAAAAAAAAAAAACTAAATAAAGACTTATTTCATCCCCGAAATCTTAACCTTGATACCGATCATATAATCTTATATATCATATGACATCTTTCAAAACAATTTATTTTTCAGATCTCCACACCAACACACCTCATTTTCATCTGAAAGAACGCCTTTTTTCTCTTGTAATGGGATATTTCTCTTCCAAGAAAGGGGAACGGATGTACACCTATATGGTTGCAATTTCATCAGAAGCATATTTCGTGAAAATACGTCGAGATCAAAGAAGAAATTTAACGGAGGAAGAATTCATCAAAATGATCGAGCATTTGGTTGACAACATCTTCTTCATTCCAAACCACTATTATCATACTAGGGGAACTTACTTTTGCCCCTCTGTTGTCTGATTTATTTAATTATTGGTTGTTTTCTATACAAATAACAGATCACAAAGGCCTCGGAAATCAAGGAAACGACAGTCTCCTCTATAACAGGGATACATCTTATGCCGAACATTGATTGCTCTGCACCAAGCTTTTTGACAACCACGATAATTTCAATTTCCTTATTTTCTTTTCTTTTTTTCTGGATAGCGGCATCCTTGCATTTCTTACATATGGTGGTTATATATGACAATTGATTTGATATTCAAGGCTTTGTTCCCAGTATCATGATTTTCGTTAAAGATTTCGTCAACTGACATACAAACCCATGGAATAGCTTTTCAAAGACAAAGGCATGGATAATCATGTGGACGTTTTACGGTAGTCATAGCGTTCTCGTGGAGTAATATTCTATTTCTGAGTTTAAACAATGGAATAATTACTCAGAGATTGGTTTATATAGCGGAGTGATCACACAAGGAAATGTCTGGAGTGATACAGATGACAAAATAGCAGGACAGCGAAGATTGATGATATATCAAAAGAGTGATGAAATAATACAGGGATCAGTGCTGAGACAAGGAACCGAGAAATACATAAAACCGAGTCATTGGTGCTGATAAAATAAGCCGCTGAATGATAGTGTTGGATTAGTAGAAACATTAATGATAATACAGGACTAAATTATAATGGCTCCAAAAAGGATAAACACGAACCTGACGAAAACACAGGGGCGTGGTCGTTGACATCTAGGACTTTAACACTAACGTTGACGCTGACTTGGTGTGCAATGTCTCCATCACTCGCTATCACCTGAATAAACCATTATCCTTTTGTAAAACATTGTCATGTTGCACAAATAAATATGTATTCGATATGAAAGTATAAATACTACGAAATACAACAAAAATTGTTGTAAATCTGATTAATTGATATTTTGGCAAAGACAACAAAATATATGTTTTTATTTAGGGATATCTATCTTTTTCTTCACGGATAGCTTGGTTTACGTACCTGAAAATTTACACGCTTTTCCTTCTCATAGTCAAGTGGTTTTATAAGTCGTAGTGCAGCACTTTCTGGATCAATTTCAAAGTAGTCATTTCGACCCGCCATAGAGTAGGTGACGGTGTTATACTCCTGAGACTTATCTAGATCTTGTGCATATATGTGGCTAGGACAAACAATAGTAGTAATATAACGTTAACTGTTATCAGTATCTGTGAGAAAATGCAGCTACCTGTCAATTCATCATATGGGATGTAGTTTCAAACTAAGAGAAAATTCTTTTGTTTCTAAATATATTATAAATTGCACCGATGCATTGTCAAATAAGACATCAATACATATTGTTTGATTAACGGCAAATATATATGTACAGGGGTAAAAAATATCACCTTCCTGAAAAAGCGCATTTATAAAGTATTACCTACATTAATTTTGAAATTTTACAGAGTCGGTCGCAGGAATCACTAAAATTACATATATCAAAATTAAAATGAAATAAGCATCGTGAAAATACAGTAAAAATGACCCAAACTTTAAATAACTGGCGAAAAAAGTACCAAACATAATAATTCTGTATTTATCGATGAAATGCATACTGATTAATACTCAATTCACATGAAATATTAATCTATGACGAACTTAATTAGAAAAACTGATTTACAGTAACAGTTTCGTTCTTGGAAAGGGAAATGCGACTGACTTTTGTGAGGCTTTAAGTACAGGTGGAAAGTTTGTATATACTACCTGTTATTCACTAAATGTCCGAGCTGGAAATCTTCTGCTAATGAAAATTCGTAGGATGTCTGGTTAAAGATTGGGCTTTGATCATTGATATCCTGGAAAAAACAGAACATTACATCAAATAAACTGCTTTTTCATTTCTATTTTAATTTTGAAATTATTTACATACAGCTGTGTTTTAAAATCATATCAACTGATTTCTTCTATTTCCTAATTGTTTAACTCGAACAAACCTTGACGTATATAAAGACCGTCAATGTGCCGTTTTGCAGATCTGGTGGTATATATGGAACAGTGTTGTAGGCAATGATTTTCGCCTCATACACCCCGTATGTCAGCGGGGCCGTAGATTTCAGTGTTCCGTGTATTATCTCAAGTGAAGTGGCGTTAGCTTGTACAATGTACTTAACGTTTCTGTTCTCACCTTCATCTTCATCATATGCCTGAAATTGAATAGCACTCTCATGTGAAGCACATCTATTACTATTGTCAAAATTTTCAATTGCAAAAATTATTTTCCAAAATATCCTTTATGTAAATGTTCTTACCTCTATCGGAACTGACAGGTTTCCTCCTTCGACGATGGTTATGTTCATTGATGTGTTATTGAAGTGGGGCGCGTGGTCGTTAACGTCCTTCACCTTTATACAAACCGTGGCTACAGACATCAGAGATGGTGTTCCTAAATCTTGTGCCATTACCAGTAATGCAATTTGACCGGACGTTGAGGTTAGGTTTTCTCTGTCCAATGCCGATATGGTGTGTATCTGTCCTGTTTGGTCTATTTCAAAGGTACTATTCCTATAAGAAATATAATACCGAAATAACGACCATGAGAAATGGTATGAAATTTAAAAATACAAATGAATTGACGATAAAACTCATATGAACGAAAATATATTGTTCCACATAATTGATATGTAATGTGCATAATGATTTGTGACGTATATGTTTATAATTTGAAAGATCATCAATGTTATCATACGTGGGCTGATTGATAAGTTGTGAGCCTTGTATTGAAGACGTTAAGCAGGGAGGTCGTGGATATTTACGGTTGTGTACCCGTAGACAGGTGTCATTTTGTCATTTATGTCGAAGTGGCAGCACTCTTAAGTAAACAGTGCAAGTGACTTTTGCAAAATGTTCAATATTTGCGTAAGAAAGGTCCAGCACCGAAAGATATCCATACTAATAGGTAGGAATACCAGAGAATGATGCCCGTTCATATGCTACAGTGAAAAGATGGATGACGGAATTTAAGCGTGGCCGACAGAGCCTTGGAGATGATGCCCGTCCTTGAAGGCCTGTCACTGTTGAATCTGCAAGAGGGACAAATGGCCAATGGCACATATCGTGCATCACTTGTTCGGCAGTTAAAAGAAAATATTAAACTCAAACGCCACGAAAAAGAGTAAAGAGTTGTAGCTCCACTAAGACAATGTCTCTGGTCACAAGTCAATGCCATGGCTGCCATTAATGTTTTTGGTTCGAATTTATTGAGCATCCGCCTTATTCACCTGATCTCGCTCCTCCAGGCTTTGATCTATTTCCTAAATTTAAAAGGGTCATTTCCATTAGCCACTTTCTATCAGATGATGACGTCAAACATGCAGTGGAAGACTTTTTGAACGTTAATGAAAAGGACTTATTTAAAAGTGGCATCGCTTGCAAAAGTATATAGATACTGACGGGGGATAACGGTGATCAATCGGCCCTCATAGTATAGTTTCCTTTTACCATACAGATTTACCATAACAATCAGCATCTTACTTACCACGATGGTAGTACTGTATAATGCAGTTTAGCATTTTCGTCTAGATCTTTGTCAGTGGCCTTGAAAATGATAAAATAATGACAAATTAGCAAACGTTTAGTCATTCCAAGCAACGGAAGCTAATGTATACCTAGTTAATCATATAAAAATCCCTGTAATAGACACTATCGCAATGGTACATTTAATACATATACCTGTAAATAATTGTCCAAATTTCACACATCGAAAACGAAGGTTAAAACTCAATTTATGAAGCCTATTTTTCATTCTGCTTTCAAACAAGTTATAATAAAAATGTAATCAACGCACTTACTGTAACATTACCAATCACTTTCGGCGTATCTCCTTCATCGATGGTGAAATTTAAAAAATGAGGGTTGAATTCGGGTGCATTGTCATTAACGTCTTCAATGGTTATGGAAACACTAGCGGTAGACGTCTAAAATTGATAGTTTAAAGAGATATCTAAGTATATTACTGGTTAACTGAAACGTCTAATAAAAAATGTATATTTAAAATCTTGTTTATAGAATAAACAGTCTCACACAAAGTATATTTATTTCAAACTCTGCAGTGTCAATTTAAACCGCATCTAGTTGAGGGTGATGTCAGCTGAGAAACAAACAAAAAAATAATTTGATGACAATAGTCAGGATTTGTAGTAGCGCCTAAATAAAGATATTACTTAAGTTAAACCATGACTGGGAGAACCAATGACGGCACTAATGAATTATAATAATGTTGATGTTAGCACGTACCACGAAACCTTTACAAACAATGGCTTTTTACTGTGGTGTGACGAATTGTTTTCGTTTTCACTGATCTCCTTGTAAGTTGGTTTCCTTTCCTCGGTTGTACGTTATAGACACGGCTGTGTTAATACGTTGTAAGTCTCATATTATCCTATGTATACATCCAGACATGAACATTAATTGAACATAAATTATCTTACATGATTAGAATCTGTGACTCTCAGTATTAGATGATAGCCATTTGGATTAGTCTCTCTGTCCAATACCTTGTTCACTAGTATCTCGACACTGAAATAAAACAAGCCTTTGAATAATCAATTGTTGATCTTTTTTGCGATTATAATCGCGATGAATGTATTTAGATAATATAATCATATTTATTCTCCTATATTTTCACGTGTTTCCAATTAAGCGTTTCTTTTGGGTAGATTTTGCCATCGTTTCTTTGATTTTTTGTCGATATTATCTTTGTGTTCCGGAATAAATTTTACCATAAGTGACGCTCCTGTATCAGTGAACTGTATATTACCTTGCTGGGTTTGTGCCATCGGATCTTCCAAGGATGAATGTATCATTATCTAATCCTTGTATCTGCTAACGACACGAATATTAAACAATTGTGAATGCATTAAATTGTTTTGTACGAGTTGTTTTTCTATGTCGTCATTCATACAAGTGACTGCCATCTTTCTATAACAATTTAGTATCATATAGAAAGTACAATTAAGTAATTTTTTAATGACAATTCCATAGCTAAATTGCACACTTTTAAACTGATGCGTGGGAGACTGGATTGATCCGCTTTTTGTTTGGTTCGACCGCCGATATTATACAGATATGTGAAAGTATGGAGACGTGAATTGGCTATTTTGAGGCAACCTGCCCTTTGCTAAGAGACAAAATACTATACAAGTTATATCACATATACGGTACATTGAGTTTTTCACTACAGTCGCAAAAACTGCAGCCAATTGCAAGCCGTATACTCTCTAAGATTAAAAAAATAAGGTGATGTTTGATTGATGGAAGTTTACGCTGCTTATACTTATATCAGACAGTATACACGATATCTACTGATCGTATAACTGTTAAGAAAGACTATTTTCCAGTGTTAAAATCTCGAGAAAAGTGGATGTCGTTATATTCAAGGTAAAAGATGATAGTTAAATTCCAAACTATGTCGTTACTATTTAAATAAATATGTATCTAAGAAGAATAAAAAATAATTTTTGAGCATTAATTACATCTCATACTTTACCCGAATAATCTTTTGGACAGAATTTACATAGGTTATGTTTGTTGTTGAAACTAAGTTGCTTTTAAAATATTGTCAATGAAATGTGTTGAAACGAGATATATAAGAATACATGTGTTCTTGTTCGTAGGTGAAATAAAAATTAAAGTAAACACTGTCTTCTCGACAATGCACCGAAACCATCTTGTAACTTTATGCATTACCTGCGCACTTAGAGGTGCTGCTGTAGCCATTGTTGTTGGCGATCCTGAAATGAATATTTAAATCACATCAAAATATTACTAGTAAACAAATATGAATCAATTCATCTTAATGTCTTTACTTATCTGTAGAGTTATGTGTCTTTACAATTTATAGAGTTGTCTGGTAAATATCTGTTTACACTACTTGCCTTAACGTCTAAACTTAATTACATATTACATTACCTATATATCAATGTAGGTCAACGACTATTACACTGTATTACAGCAACATGATAATTGTAAATTTATTTTCAACATTTACCTCTTCTTAGCATTTGAACTAGGAAAGAAAATTCTAGATGTTTATCACGAAATGATTTCTCGTGAGATAATTCATTTGTCCTGTCTATATTACTAACGAGTTCAAACTACGTCGTAAGTAATTACTATGTTATAAAATTATTAACAATTATCTCGAAGAATTAATTTCGATATATTTCATTCACTAGGATTCAAGTGTTTTGATAGCAGATCTTTTAATTATCTAATGAATGGAAATGATCTAATTTGTGAATACAATATTGAATAGGTTTCATTATATCTCTTCAGAACTAAAACAATAAACAAATCAGTTATATCAGTGAATATGAAAGGGAACTTAAAAGATATAGAGGGATTCGTGCATCAGGGAAGTAAATATATGATTGGATTATATATAGATGATAATGACATCTACCTACCACTCTTTTTCTTCATAGCCATCTTCTTACAACAAACAACACGTACGTTTTAGAATTGATGGAATACTATCTATATTGACCGTTGGCAATACTGTGTATCCGATATCCATAATTCGTTCACAACACATAACACATACATGGATGGTTACGACAACACCGGCATGTACCTCGTATAATTCACGTTAACATAGGCAAAATAGCAACAGCAGGCTAATTTGTTGTGCAATCAGATAACACGGATCCGGAGGTGTAGATCTAGCGTATTTATTCCATATCTGTGAACTGATCCACTCTATCGTATTGCCAGACATTTTTCGAATCGTCTCATTAAAGTTGTCCGAAATCGATAGCTACGGATATTGTTTACAATGATAAAGTTAGTAATTAAGAGGAAACTTATTTAGACATATTATATAGTGGAAAACATTTTCAATAATCAACATAAATGACAAACCATGTAAGTATCACAAAAATAAGCTCTCCATCACTTTTAAGATAATCAGCCTATCTGATATTGTAAGTTCAATTAATACTTCAATTTCCTTAACTGAGTTATATATTTTAGCAAGTATAACATCTTTAGCTTTTATATCTTATTTAAATTGATTGCATCAATGTTAATTATTTTCTAACTAATTCTCAAAATGTCTACATTTTAAAACCAGTAATCTTTATATAAGAAATAAGAATTATCAATTCTATCAAAACATACTCTGGTGTTTGTGACAAGAACACTTTAGGGGTAATACCAATTGACATCACAATAAAAACTTCAAACTTTCATGACTTATCCTTAACTGATGAGCTGGAAGAAATGAAATTTGGCAGCATTGGTATATATTAATACGTATAGGGTGCAGATGTATGTTTGTTTGGGAGTGGTAATAATGTCGGGAAAGATATATGTATGTATAAAACGTGTAGGAAGTGCGATATAAACATGTTTCTCTAATTTTTCACGCAGTTTATAAACAATAAATTTCATAAGCTATTAATCAATTATTGATTTTGTGTTACCATAAATACTTACTTGCTTCATTCAATGAAAATGTCAATGTGTCGTTTATATCTAGATCCGTGGCAACTATTGTCCCAACAGATGTATTGACGGGTATATTTTCAGGAATGCTGATATGACTTGGACCTAGTATTACAGGGAAATTGTCGTTCTTGTCTTTAACAGAAACTTCGACCAAGGCAGAACTGAAATTGTATATAAACTCAAAACGTTAATCTTATTAAGAAAGAATAAATATGCTGAATTTCTATCAATAATTGTTCTGCAGTGATGAAAAAGGGACCCTTCGGTCTCTATCCAGATACTTTACCGCTCGACTAAAGGGAAATTCCCACTAGGCAAGGCTAGTAAGTCGATATATACACTCAACTTCTAGACCACACCTTCCTTCCTTCTGTCTTCGACCGCGAAAGTAGCAACAACAACCAAGTTTCAAGATCTCTAAGGAAGCATCTTAGTCTCCTGTAACTTCTACCCTTGGAGTAGTCAACGACACAAAATAGGTGATAGAAAGGAGTAATGATAACACCCTGCCACCTCTTGTGTTCGAAGTAGCGACCCTTCGGTCTCTATCCGGAAACTCTACCGCTCTACTAAAGGGAAATACTCACTAGCCGAGGATAGTAAAGCTACATGTACATTCAACTTCTACACTTCTAACAGCTGCTTTATTTCAGTAAATATTAACATATTCAATGCACTAAATTTTACAAAACAGTTAATGAGCCTACCCAGAATTATGTGGGCTTCCATTATCCTTGACTATTATCGTGACGATGTAGACACTTGGACCGGTATCAGCATCCAGTGGTGTCCGAGGATGAATAACCCCTGTTGTTTCGTTGATTTCAAACTTACTCTACGAGCCAAGAAACGAGAAAATAGTGTAAAAATTAAGTCGTTATACAATAAAGTAAATGTTCTTAAAAGATGGAAAAGTAGGTTAAAGTCTTGTAGTGCTCAAATCAAGATGATCATTAAGTGTTGACGCGACATGCATTCAGATTCTTTCCAAGAAATTGTACATTAAATGTTGTTATATTACATGTACATTTGAAGAATACCTTCAAGGGGTCATCAATGCCATAAAGAAGACGACCATTGTTTCCCACAGTATCATTGTCTTTTGCCTTTATCGGGGAGGGGCAATGCAGACCGCCAGTGCTATTTTCAGCCACGCTACATTTATAGATATCTGAAGAATATATGAATTTTGCAATATGAAATAAAGGTGTCAGTACACAATAACCAAACATTCAACAAAAATATATCAATAAATATGAAATATTATATTCATATGTTCCATAATATTGCAGTCATATTGTTCTTGATACTGCTTAACATTATCTCTTTAAAAAAAGAGATTATTTTGATAAGGTGGCAAAATAGTTAATTAACTCATTTTCGTACGAGATCAATATTCAAGAACAGCCATTCTTTAAAATTACGTAGATTACGTAGTATTATTTTTAAAGAGATATTGCTGATGCGTTGGAATCTTTTGTTCATTTGAGATATGATGCCCATTATGTAGTTATTTCTCACCTTTCGAGAACACTGGGGCGTTATCGTTGACATCCAGTACTGTCACAGTGACATTTACTTTAGTTACATGTTTCTCGTATCCGTCTGTTGCTTGTACCTATGATATCAAAGGATCTTAAAGACACGCGAGGTTGTATACTAACTTTCCATACAATTTAATATAAGACACCGTATATGAAAATAAATCAAATAAGCTGCATCATGTCAATGGTATATCGTGCTAGGACTCCAAAGAAATGATAGTGACCTTTTATACGTAAATTTAGAAGGTGAGTAAGAAAGAGCAGTAATTGTCAAACAAAACGTTAAAATGAAGGTTGGTATGTGCACTTCCCCAATAATTCGATACATTTCGATAGTAAGTAATATCGAAGATATTAAAGACATAAAATTATAAAAAATGACTTAAAAATTACAAACAACTTGAAATTATTCTAAAGTCGCAAGCAAGAAGTTGGAGCTGAAGATTAAAAATATGGAATAATCACCATATTTGATTTTTACACTCATCCATGTGGCTTCACAAGATATTGACATTCTCGAGGTTTATACATTCTGTACGTTCTGACTTTTTCTAAATTCATATTTGCTTAATATCCTTCAACACAATATTGACATACTTGGAAAGTGATTTGCGTTTTATCCTCATAGTCCAGAGGTTTGATGAGTCTCAGTGTGCCATTATTTGGGTCAACTTCGAAATAGCTATTCTCATCTTCTATTGAGTAAGTGACAGTGTTGTACGCAGAAGTCTCGTCTTTGTCTACAGCACTTAGTCTACATATTAAAAAAGTTGCAATATTTCTGGTTTGTGCAATTTTAAATATAAAGATGATAATTGTTTCATATTATTCTATTTATCTCATTTTATTTCATATTCACGTAACGTATCTCCTAAGCCTAGGTATGGCACTCAATGAGGCCTGGATGGAAGTGCTGCCACGCAGCTTTGCTACACCAACAGTTACTCTGGCAGTCAATATATGGTATCTGATTCACTCATTAAAACAGTTATAAGTAAAAGTTTTATTTCAGACTGTACGAAAGTGAATGGCACTTTTTCAATACAACTTCGTTTTATAAGATACTTTCATACATGTGCATGTTTTTTTTAAAGTTTATTCATAATTCTATCAAATATCATTTCCAGAAATTATGTCCACATGTATAACAAATTAGCTGTATTTGTTACATCATCATTATCACAAAAGACGGTTAACTCAATAGTACATCTTGATGAATCTGAAAGTGCTATGAAATGTCATTTTGATACACTCAGTTATGTGATATAACATAGATTATGAAGTAAGTTGATATTACCTCTGGCTCAGTACATGTCCAACTGCGAAATCTTCCAAAAGTGAAAAATTGTAATTTGGTTGGTTAAACTTTGGTTGATGATTATTGATGTCCTGGGAACAACAAAAACACATCATTATGCATATACGAGTATGTATTGGATATCTCTTCATATTGAGGATCAATATTATTTATTTATATATTAGTGAATCAATAAATGTGTAATTCATCCCGACGGAATGACCACATGTTATAATATATATGCTTACTCATTTGGCATCCAGCATCCATTGCCGAAGAGAGTGAAGAAGCAAATAAGTTGTTTGAATTTATTGCAAAATAAATAGAAATACGATACCACTAAGGAAAAAGGGGTAAGCTATTTCGTCTCAGGAATCAATATTTTCAAAGGTTGTTCCAAAAAGATACAATTGAATAGCACCTTTAAAACAAATTTAAATAAGATAAAGTAAAGTCAAACAATTAATTTAATTGCAACATACATATGTTTTGTCCATCTATGACTCGTTAGAGATGTCAAGGGTATAATCTTTAAACCTCGGAGGCGACTGAAGATAACCCAAAGTGATCGACAGATATGTCCAAATCTAGATGAATAGGTCAAAGAAATTTTAAATAGAATTGTATCAGTTTCTAATATCAATTTTCGCACGCACCTCAACATGTATGTTCACCGTCAAGGTACCGTTTGCTACTGCTGGTGGTTTATAGGGCACATCGTTATAAGCAATAATCTCCGCCTTATAAAACCCATATGTAAGACTAGCATTGGACCGCAGTGTTCCATTTGTTATCTCCAGTGAGATGTTTGAACTTCCGATTCTGTAACTGATGTGACCATTCTTCCCTTCATCTTCGTCATATGCCTACAAAGTATGCCTTGGTACTATAGAAAAGCTGTATAATTGTTCAATTCATACTCATAATTCGATGTAAAATCTATAACTGAAAAGAGAGATTCATTGTCATAGTAAATATACAGACCTGTAGATCAGTGTTTAAGAAACTTCCTTCGTCAATAGTAATGTTTTCCTCCTTTTCGATGAAAAGAGGGGCGTGGTCGTTAACATCTTCCACTTGTACAATAACTGTGGCTGTTGTCATGAGAGGTGGTGTACCGCTATCTTCTGCCATTACCAGGAGAGTAATTTTGCCGGAAGTTGATGTTAGTGATTCCCTGTCCAGTCTCGAGGTGACAATGATATCTCCTGTTTTATTTACACTGAAGTTTGCATTCCTGGTAAAAATATATAACACTTATCATAATGATATATAACTGTTATCATTATGGTATTTAATTCTTTTCACAATGATATTTAACTAACATTATGTCTTGGACGATATTGTTATCATACACTTATCTTTTTAGAATACTTGACAGTTAGTATAGATACATGTGTATTTAAGCATATCTGAGTTTGATGAATATGTGTCTAGAGAGCATCATCTCTAACCAATGATGTTAATAATTATGTTATAAAATGAATTATCAATAATAAAGAATGGTTAAATTATAATTGAAATTAATCAAAGATACAAAGATGTTATGGGGAGAGCATGTCGGAGATCAAATTGTATATTTATCAATATAATGCTTGTACACTACCTAAAATATTTATGTATTTGTATATATAGGTGCATGTATGTAGGGTTATTTATAGGCACGATCAAAGCAATAGTATGGATGAGGTTTGTGGAGAATGAGATCCCTCTTAAGTGGGGCTTTGTTATACATACAAATGTCTTTCAATACAACGTTTGCAATAATAATAATAATTGACACTTTTATATAGGTAACTCACCGATTTCTAGCCGAAACAATCATAAAGTATGCATGTAAAATAGGGGTCTACACAACAATGAATCAACGCATTTCAAGGTCTCTTTTTATTCCTTTTGTTAACTTCTTTATTGTATTCCTATCGTCATCTTGCCCATTCAGTGTTCCTTAAGAAGCCACAAAACTATACGAGAATATGTGTTGTATCATTACGTATATCTTCAGTATTCTAATTCGAAAAGTCAACGATATGCATAAACTTTATCTTATACATTTCTATACCATTATTCAGAGGCATTTTAAACCATACTTCAAATACGTATGACAAACGCAAAATAATGTCTTCATTTGAGCTCCTACCATGGAGACACGAGTGTGTAGTGCACCATTCCATTCTTTTGTATATCTATGTCAGTGGCCTTGAAAATAACAAAAGTAGCATACATAGATTAATACATGGTAAAATGGAAATTTGAATATCGGTTCTTTCTATTTATATGTCCTAATTCAGTTAATACTTGTATATTGTGGCCACTCGTAGGAAAATACACAACAATATGTAATTACTGATTGAAAGTTTTTGTAGTTAAAATATTGTTATAAGTGTAACAAGATCTTATTGATGTGAATTAAATTTCAAAAGGTACATACAGTTACATATCTTATACTAAATCTAAATTGGGTTTATACATAATTTTGATTTGTCTTTGGTGATACATACGTAGTTTTAGAAATATTAGTCCACAGCGTTTATATTCCATAGCAATAGATACAGAGGAATAAGTAAATATCAAACTTACTTTAACATGACCAATCACTCTCGGTGGCTCTTCTTCGGGAGTAGTAAAGTTATATGTTGAAGACTGGAACTGGGGGGCATTGTCGTTTATATCCTCTACATTGACAGATAGAGTCGCCGTTGATGTCTGTTGTTTAAGAAAGAATACGTAGGTGAGATGATACTCATATTTATTTAACATGATGATAATCATAGTCATATTTTCTCTGAGCTTTTAACGACAGTTACTAAGCTTTTAAAGTCTGATATCTACTTAGTTTAATTCTGTGATACAAAGTACACTTTAAAATAGCGCTGTACTTATAGTGTTTTAGTGTTCTGCGGAGATGGGGTGCTCATCACGTTGTAATTTTTATACAGGAAACATAACGAACAAATAGAAATGCTGTATGACATGTTTTGGTGCACAAAGGACAGCGTATACAATTGATATACGAGTACATTGCAAAGGTCAACAACCATGTACTTACATGCACGGAATCAGTGACTTTCACTGTAATGTTGTATCCGTTGGGTGTAGTCTCCCTGTCCAAAGCCTTATTTATGACAATTTTTGACCTAGATTAATAACAGTTAAAACAAATAGACAGTCAGAAAACATTGTGCAGGCCAATTACCGGTCTAGTGTTTCATTGGTTTTATATAACTTACTAAACAAACATTGTCATTACATTCAAAGACTTGTATGTACTCTTTGCACAGTAGCTTTCTAAGAAAACGAGATACAAATGTAAATGGCGATAAACTGATATAACGTTGGACGAACATATTGAATACTTACCTTCTGGAGTCAATTTTGTGGAGTGTAAAATCCAACACATTGGAAAGCATGAACGTAAGATGATCACTTGGGTCCTCGTCATAAGCCTGGGTACATCAGAAAGTAAAATATAAGTCACGATGTCTTACAAAGAAGGTTGTAGTCGGTGTGTCGCCAATTGAATACGGGATATCAGGATGACACTAGTCATATACAGAGCTATAGGGTTTATTCATTTTATCAAATGACGTTGGTATTGTCGCAAGTCACATACAGGATGGCACCAAACAATCAATAAATAATTGTCTGATGCTGTTATTAAGTATATTGTTGATACAGAAAAACTTTAATGTCAAACTAAATATCTACCGACATGAGTTGAAATTATAGAAAAAATCTAAAACTAAGACAAATAGCAATTGGAAAAAATTGAGATCCTTCCAAAGTCATAGTAAATTAAACTTTTGTTAGTAAAGATATATGCTGGTTAATTGTTATTTACTTTTCCCACTTTTCCCCATTATTATTTGTTCTTTTTTAATTATTCCCAATATTTCAGTTATCTTCATATAAGGAAACAGCTCTGATCAGTTCTTTATCTTGGTCTGAATATCCTTTTTATTTAGAATAATAATCCTTTGATATAAGAAAAATGTGCTTTATGTGTACCTCCTCCTTTACTGAAGTGGGAGAGGTCTAACTTTTATAGCACGGACATTCTGGCCGAAACCCCATTTATATGGGAGAGAAAGTGCATGTAATACACATTAAATATCATGAGATATAGTAAACTGAAAAGCTGGTAAATTGTTAATCTCTTCTTATAATCATAACATAAAAGTATAAAAATAAATAACAAAGTTGTCTCCCATAATTTAAAATTGATAAGTCTGTCAACACAAAAGTTATGATTGTATGTATGAAATAATTATGTACGTACGTATGTATGTTTATGGTGTAATATTTTTATGTCTTTCCACCCTGTTGTATTTAGAGAAGACATATATAGGCTTTAGCCTGCAGTCTTATCCTATTGATTGTTTATACCAATAAACTATTCTAAAATGAAACACACGATGTCGGGGTATCACCAGACATATAGAGGATGTCAGGGTATCACAAAATAAATACAGGATATTAAATGTCATCTAATTAAAAGGCTTCGGGTACGGTACTGTTATTGGAATACATGATGTTGAGGTGTCACCAGAAAAATACAGGATGTCAGATGTCAGGGTTTTGTCAGACAAATACAGGGCATTGGGGCATCGCCAGTGGAATACAAATTGCCAATGTGTCACCAAACAAATGCAGAACTTCGTGTTGTCTCCGGTGGAACAAAGGACATCAGTGTGTCACTTGACAAATGCACGACTTTGGAGGTATTGTCAGTGTAATGTATCATGGCGGTATGTCACAAGATAAATGTAGGGTTCCTTATTTTAACTAGTGGAACATAGGATGTCAGACAAATATATAACGTTGAGATCTAAAATTACAAAAAAAACCTACAGAAAGTCAGTGTGTAACCAGACAAATAAGTGCTTTGGAGGAACGCCAGTGGAAGACAATGTGACGTCAATGTGTCACTAGACAGACAACAGCTTCGTAACGTCAAGGTTTGATCAGAGATATTCATGGATTCGGGGTATCGCAAGAAGAATACTAAGTGACACTAGACAAATACAGGATGACTGGGTGTCATCACACAAATACAAGATGTCGGGATGTCGTCAGTCAAAAACAGAACGGTGGGAAGATCTCGCAATATTAGTTTTATGCGTTAGAGTATGTACACATCTATATACGTTTTCAACATGTGATTTAATAGATGTTTTGCTGTATCTACAAAACATTCCGTACACTACTAGCCTATAGGCCTACCCTGTATCAGATTAGTGAAAAAGCATTGAGAATTGGAAAAGAAAACTACATTGTTTATTAGCAAAAGAAGGAACCTAGAACATCAACCATTATACAAACAATACATACTCTCACATTAGTGATGAAGCATTATATTACACACAAACTTACCTGAACCCAGAGGACATCACTGTTTATATCAATATCTTCTTTGATGGATACATTTGGTGTCATATTCACAAAAACAGGTGCGTTTACGTTAACATCTAGTACGCGTACGTTCACTTGAACTGACGATTGTCTGTAACATAGAAGTTGAACTTGTGGTTTAATGCCAATGAAGAGCATCGCATTAAGAAGACATGGCAAGACATGAAATTAAATATCAAAGATCTCTAAAAATACAGTAAGTGTATGTCATGATTAAGTCAAACCTGTACTCATTCGTTGTCCTGAATACTTTTTTTTTTAATTTTTTCTGTCAGTTCAACAACACAGGTGACGACCTCTTTCAGCACATCTATGTTGTTGCCTTTACACATTTTTTCCCATATTGTATTGTACTTGTGTTATCTTTATGTACAAAATATTTCCAAAATAAACGATAAAACGAGGCTTGGCGAGTTGTATAAATATCATAAATGAATGGAATAAATTTGCCTTTAGCGTAACTGTACCTGAAATAGGATAAATCGCAGATTTTTTGACGCAGCATTGGTTTAAATGGCACATACATAATGAGAGTTATGTTACATGTATAATATAACCTAGGTATACCACTAGAGTTTCTGTGAGATATTCTTATATCTAAATATTCCGTCAAAATGACGACATTAGACAAAACGTTGCTAAAGTAGTGAAAGAATCACACGAGATATCTTATAGTCTTTATTTTTAAATATCATCAAAGGCTACCTATGTTATTACTAAAAACTTTATATATGAATATTAGAACAGATTTATCATATATGACTTATATCTACCTTCTGTAAGGTGAAGCTGCCATGTCACTCGCTACTACCGTGAACCTGTATTCGGGTTCGAAGGTAGAATTTAATGCTGCTACAGCCTCAATCAAGCCAGACCCATTTTGATCTCTAATGGCAAAACGATGGGATTCCTTTCCTTCTAAATGATACCTAACAACACCATTGTTTGACTCATCTTTGTCAGTAGCCAGGACCTTCAACATAAAACAATTTTGTAAGCCAAAGTTGCTTTCTCTGTCCATTTGGATATGAAATCATCATTGTTTGCATATAAATGTAAAACTGTATCATTCGGACCAGGTTTCATACCGTGCCGACTTGTCCTGGTATTGACAGGGTCTTGTTGACGGTAAACGTGTAGTTAGGATGGGAAAACTTCGGGCTGTTGTCATTTTCGTCCAGTAAGGTGATGGTCACGTCCACCGCGTTACTTTTTATACTGCTGTTCCGGATGGACACTGCAAATACCTGTAATACCATACCACGATCTTCAAAAATAATTTTCACAATTGTATTTCACTGATTAAACGATAATTAGCAGAAATCAACTAAATGATAATATACACTTGAGCTGTAGTGTATATTTCTACTGCAGTTTAATTTGTTACAAATTATCTGTGGTGTTTTTGATAACAATATTAATGGCATTTGTTAATCACCATAAAATGCGTAATGATACAATATACATCGTAACAGTTTGATCATAATGTTCCGTCCAAAGGGGATCATAGTTAGGAGAGGTAACATGTAAAATATACATCTAACAAGATTGTAATCGCCAAACAAAACACTAAAATGTGACGTTCATATCGATATATACATCATAGTGTCTCTTACCTTCAACGTCCACTTTGCGCAGGTCTCTCGATCTAGAACGGTGCTGTTTTTAACAGTCAAAATTCCAGTTCGGTTGTCAATTTCGAACCCCCCGGGATTAACATGATTTTCAATCTTGTACTGGAATTTAGCATTTTCTCCCTGTTTTTAAAGACAAACAATGAAAGATTAAGAAGATAAAGATATAACAAGGGGCGAATGATACTGGAAACAAACACAGCTATAGCCAAAAATGTTACTGAATATAGATACGGCTATCATCGATTTAGCTAAATGTTTCACTTCTGCCTGCGATGTAGTTACATTGAAGGTGTTATTGCACAGAGACACAAATACCAGCGATAAAGTTGAATTTCCAGACACAGCTACCAATCATATAATCCTTTTTTATTGATAATTATGACATATTACGAAATCAGCTCGAGACAACATGTATCAATGTTGAATGTCAGTTTTCGAGGATCGGGTGTCACAAATTTGTTTAGAATTTTTCGGTACAAAATACAAATTAAGTGTATCTTTTCTTTTTCTTGTCGTTACAATGTTTTATCAAGAGTCAACATTAAATTTTTAACTACAATACAAAATGAACATTTTATTGTTTATTTATTCTTGTTGCAAAATAAACACTACGTTCATTAGAAAAAGTATATCGTGTTTTTAACCAGTAAAAGAATATGGTGAAATTATGCTATCTGATAGTAAGTCGTGGATGAATTCCTGTAGATCAGACATAGTAACGTGAGTTCTAGCTACACATAATAACAGTAAAAAAAATGCCAGAGGTATTTCTATCAGACGGTACATTGATATGAATAAAAGTCATGACTTTGGCGAGAATGTCTGCTGCCATCAATTAATCTTTTTTCACCATTAATTACACATATGCATGAATGGGTTCTAGTTCGCTCTCCGTCTCCATGGTCTCACATCCGTGTTAGTCCTACCTCATCCGCGTCTGTTGCAGTCACAGCGAGGACAGTGACACCCTTGGGAGTATTTTCCGGGATACTGGCTTTAAACATAGTCGATGTTATCACAGGTGGGTTGTCGTCCACATCCGATACCGTCAAGTTCAGTGTGGTCACATCTATCCGCAAATCTGGTTGGTCTACCTGGTACGCCTAACAAAATAGTAATATGAACTGTCTATAATATAGCACAGAACTTAATTTGATTTAAGAACAGAAACGTTTCTCACACCGACACATCATATAACGCCTTCTGATGATCCTTTACGAGAGATCATGATGTACATGTATACCCCAAAAATATTTTCATGTGTCGTTTTGAAAATGAGTGTTTTAATTCATGTTTTTGCTTGTCATCTTAAACGTTTTCAAAATATGAGCACAAAGTAACCGTGGCATGTGCTAGTAATACGAATACCTCAATATGAATGAGTATACAAGAATGTGTCTGCATGACAAATTTTCACTACAGTGAAACCCCTTTAAACCACCAATATGTACATGTAGTCAAAAGACAGGATGATTTTTTTTCACGTTTCTATTATGTCTTATCTTGACAAAAAAACAGGGAAGTGTATTCTGTCCTCCTAGCCTCGTGTCTGCTACATCTTATCTTGACTAGAAACAGGAAAGTATAGTTTGTCCTCCTAACCTCGTGTCTGCTACATCTTATCTTGACTAGAAACAGGGAAGTCTATTATGTCCTCCTAACCACCATGTGTGATATGTCTTATCTTGACAAAAAACAGGGAAGTGTATTCTGTCTTCCTAACCTCGTGTCTGCTATATCTTATTTTGACTAGAAACAGGAAATTGTATTATGTCCTTCTGACACCGCTGTGCCTGCGTTCGCTTACCTTGACTAGGATCAAGTAATTTTTACATGTCTCTCTGTCTAATTTTCCATTAACAATCACTTTTCCTGTTCCATTGTTTACATGAAATAGCGATGTTTCCGGGAATACTGTAAGTGGACGAACATATGAACTCAGAAAACAAACTTGATTAAGAACTATTTCCCGTAAAATCGAAAGATCAAGCGAACTGAAATAGTTATCAATTAACGAAATATTAATGAATTTTTTATTAAAATATCAGAACAGCGATATGTATATATTGAGATATATGATTAGGTTGCTTAATGTCTAATGATGTCTTCAAACTAATAACATTTATAAGATTATAAGATTATAAAATTTTAGCTTTATATATTGTTCGACATTTACCTCTGATCAAGGAATAGTTAATGGTACTTTTCTGTGACTTATCTCCGTCCACAGCCACCATCTGGATAATTTCCTCCTGGTTGTACATCTACAAAATAATAATTGATTGTACAATTTTTTTACATATGTATATTATATGACACTGTTTTAAGCTCATAATGTTGCACATTAATTAGAACAGCAGTTTCTCTAGGACAGATCAAGAACAATATCAGTCACTTCACCGCTTTGTTTGCTTTTCATAGCCTGTGCTTTTTATGTCTGCTATCGTTATAAGCTGTTCCCATTCATAAACAAGAAATGATGCTCGGGCCCGCAATACACTAGATTTAGGTAATTAAGAAATTTTAGACATTGCGTTCTTGTCTGAATTTTAGTGAACGCATGCTCGGACAGGCTGATATCGGTGCAAAATGGTCAGTGGACATTTGAATAATATACATATAATGTTAGCCTATGGTATGAATGAAAGTGTAACTATACACAGAACAAACGACCTAAAGAAGAACAACTTTAACTTTGTCAATGTGAAAGAGTTAACTTAGCAATCAGGTGTATTTTCACTTTCTTAAAGATAAAATTAAATACGAACGACATCAGAAAGAAGAGCACTTGCCTCGATTTATATCACGTGATACATATTTTCTCTTACAGCTCATCATAAAAATGCATATCAGTGCATGTTTTAAGAAAAATATTTCGGTAAAGTGTGTTATATGCGGTGTAACAATAATGAAAATCCAGCGTTCCTAGATAGGATAACCCACCGCTTCAGGTTTGGTTAGTACATATCCATTAGGGTTTTGAAACTTTGGAGGAAGATCGTCTACATCCATGACATTGACAATGACTGTAGCAGAAGACGATATGTTCGTGCCATCGATCTACAACATATAAGTCAAATGGTAATTTGTTATATAAACATACAGATAAATAAATCCAAGATTAATTACATGTTATAGATAATAATATCATGGAATAAAGATATAAATGCATAATGTAATATTATTAGATATATGTATTGATATTATGTTATACAAACATATAATTCACAGTCAAGTGGCAATTGCCAAATACAGTAGTCTTCTGTAATAAAACATGTAATGTTAGTGTATAATACAGTGTATAATATATCATAGATTAATGTAATATTTGGAGGCGTATAAGCCCAAAAAATCAATGAATTTCATAATTTTCATATTTGATTTTTTATGGACGTATAAAGAGGTATCTTCTGTCCCATAGGCAATGTTTATTAAGTCTAACTTTAGAAAGGAAAAAACAGCGAAGGAGTTTTTACCCTTGCAGTGACTGTCAATGTGTACTGGGTAGTAGTCTCGTAGTCCAATAGGTCTGGTTTGTGTATTGATATCACAGCGGTACGGTACCTTTCCACTACACCGTTCGGAGGCCAGTCAACGCTGAAGGGTGTGTTATTCTTAGTCTGAAACACACATAACCACATCAACTTAGTGCCGTATGAAACAATTAGAAATACCTTGTCTTTACAAAAACGTAATGTTGGTTAGTAAAGTTACATACACTTGTCTATCACACACACGCTTTTGTCAATATAGTAACCAAGTGACTGTATGTTGTTTATTGTATATACTTGATGATTCGGAAACTGCAAGTTCATGGTTTTAAACTTTCGGACAAATAACTATTAACAAATATGAAAACCTTTCCATGGTATATTCTTTCAAACATTTATGTAAATACGAATTAAAAACTCGTAATAACTCAGACTTGTTAAACATAACACTGTTTTTGTTTGCTTTTGGTTGTTAAGCGTGAAATTCATATATCAATGAAGTAATCACTTAACAAAACATCCCCTGAGTATGTGACCTGTGTCACCTGACTTATATTGTGGTCAGGTTGTTAATTCTAAAACATTGATATTTCAAACAAATTGATGTCTTTGTAAAATGATTTTAACATTGTTTTAACATCAAATTTATTTTAAAGTATGAACAACGTATTACCCGTGCCAATTTAGAAGCCGACAAGATCATTCAAGATTGATCAAGAGATACACATTATTACAAATGCACCCCAAATAATTACGAACTTCTATTATCATATTTAAGAGACAGGACACCTGGACATCGAGGTATCAAGGAAGCTAAATTATTATACATCATTTTTCATAGCTAATGAATGGGTGTGATGATTACGTCATAATCAAACCTAACACTTGTTCCGATACCGATTTAGATGATGGTGTACTTTCCGGAAAAAGAAAACTTCACATCAATATAAACTACTTACAAGAGTGAAAAGAACAAACGTAGATGGTTCAATTTCTGTGGCGGTAACATGGAGTGTGCCAACTTTAGTGCCTTGTGGAGAATTCTGGAAGAAACGGGAAAACCTCGAAAATTACATCGGTGCAGTATAACTTGAGGTTTTAGTTCATGTAATAGTAGTACAGAAATAAATACCTATAATATAATGTATTCTTGGAAAACAGAATATTGGGCACACAATCACATTTGAAACGAAATCAATGATCAAGAAATAATCAAAGACATATTTCATTTTTTTTCTTTAAATGGAAAATGCTACATAATACAACTCATTTATATATACATCTTCTGATTAATAGCATCTGTACATACCTCCGGTATATTAAAGTATGTGATATTACTCCCTCCGAAAACTGGTGGAGTTTCTATCTGATTACCCACTATAATGTTTAACGAGCCCTGAAAATAAAGCGTTTTATGTTTAAAAACAAGATGTATAGATATATTAATTGTTTGTGATACTAATCTAACGATTCGAGATAACAAAGTTTTACATTTATTAATTTCATAATATTTCAATTAACATTATCATGAGTACTTATTTAGTTTTAGAGATTTTGCTGTGTCATTAACTTATTTTTGAGGTGAGTTTAGAATGGCATTATCATAGAATATCCTGTATATATTACTCAAAAGGGATGTGTTCACTTGAGTACACTGATAGAATACCGAGAGAGCAGATCATTAAAACAAATAATGAAGCAAACCTCCACGCGGTGTCCGTCGATGGAAATACATGTAAAATGTATGATTTTCACTTTTGTCTGTAATAATAAAAAATACGATATATTAAAATGTTTTGTTTGTTGGTTGATAAGTTGTTTTCTCCTGTTCCTACTGCTAGGCGACTTATTGACAAATTCCAGTAGTCTGGCGACATGAGTAATCGTGATGTAAAAGCATTCTTATGCATACAACATCTCATGACGGTTTAGCCTGGCAGCCCTAGTAAGACTGCTATTTACACAATATACTCCACCAGCACCATAATGTGTGTAATTGGTATTTGGGGGTTATTTTACTAATTATTAAAACACCAAAAACAAAACCAAAAAAATAAAATAATAAAAAAATGTCTAGTACACGTTTAACCGTCCCTCAATCTCTGGACTATATACATCTGATATAATGTAATAATGTAACTCAGCAAGTGTTCTGTATTTGAAACCTTGAAGCTTTATCAAATGTGATTATTCACAAATTCTGTTTTACATGTATAATCAAGAAATTCTTAACTGTATCTAAAACAATATTAAAGATAGAAAACATGTCAGTGTATATGATATGGTATTTTTACGATACGAAGTACACATATCAAATGCACACCGGTGGTGCATTATGTTTACGAATACACATGGTATGTTGAATACTATTTATGTTCGTCAAACGTTTACCTCCTGTTGTTTTAGAATGCATTACTTTAATACCAACAGCTATTAAACATCCAAGTAACAGAATAATCTAACCTGTAGTGTTTCGAAGTCGTAAGGTGTCTGCACTGTGACAGCAAACTCTCCAAGTCCCTTCGAACGCACCTTAAGGTATGATTCTGTCCTGGAAAGTGTTATATTTGTTATATTCTTAAAGATGATCACCTCCGTTCCTGCAAGGATATTCATACCGCAAATACAATATATTATCAAGTAAAAAAAATATCGGTGTTCAATTTGCTTAATCTCAATAGATTATGCGACAGATTGTCATGTAAATAATTAAGCTTAAACTGAAAAATTAATTAGTCCAGGTATTTCAAACAGATACAAATATTATGAAGAGTCAATGCTTGAAAAAATAATTTTCTTTACCATTTTAAACATTACGATGATCAACAATTGTCATTGTAACATACAAACCTGTAGGTAGATTCTCCAGCACGGTGTGCTGGTTTGGGCCGCCAGGGTTTGGACACCCCGTTACCGTATCTACAGCTGTAACATCAACAATGGATATTACTGACAGGAGATATTCATAACGTTATAAGAACCCTACAACTTACCGCGATGTCATAGAACATACGACTGACTATCTATAAATGTTTTATAGGAAAGATAGACCATCTTATGTTTAAACCTAATGAGAATGGTATTGGGATAATGATTCGATAGCTGACATCCTGCCACTTTTCTCCTAGAATTAGCTATTAACACATTAACAGCTAAGGATTAACACATTAACAATTTACGATTAACACATTAACAATTAATGATAAACTCATAAACAATTAAGGATTTTCACATTAACAGTTAACGATAATCACATTAACAGTTAAGGACCAACACATTAACAATTAAGGATTAACACATTAACATTTAACGATCAACACATTAACAATTAAGGATTGACACATTAACAATGAATGATTAACACATTAACAATTAAGGATTAACTCATTAACAATTAATTATTATCTCATTAGCAATTAAAGATTAACACATTAAGAAGCAATGATTAACACATCAAGAATTAATGACTTGCACATTAGCAATTACCGATTAATACATTTACAATTAACGATTCCATCGAAAGCAATACTGACAGTTTTAGAGGTGACTTCTCCCGCTTACTCATTTCATTATATATACATACAGTGGTTTGAGGCGTGTACTAGCTGTTTACTAGTTATGACTGTGTCACATTTTTTCTATAAAAGTCTTTTACGTATTTCCGTCTTTGATTTGTTCACTTTGCCTCCCAAGGTTTTTTATTGTGCCTTCTATTAATAATTATGGGTTCTTTTTTCATTCATCTTATCGCTTTCTCACTGACAAGTTGTCGCAAACCAAAGGTACCAGTTTTCAATATTTCAACTGACTTTATATTTACAAGGTGTGTCAACCAGCAAATTAACACTAGTATTTGTTTTGTGTTTTTTACTGCTTTGCCTCGATGTAGACAGATATTACCTGTTGTATAAACATTTGTTAGTTTGCAATCATTCGGACACATATTTACCTTCAACACCGCATACGCAGAGTAGATATAGCAACAGCACGTGTAAGAATGACGTCATGTCGGCGTATAACGCCTGATCAACAACCCCCTGTAGTTTAAAAGACATTGTATAAATCAAAACAATATTTGTATAATCGTGATTTAGTGTATAATGACTAATACTTAAAATAGAACAGAGAGTGACGTCAATACTCACGCATACCTTATGAATACGATGTGAAAAATATCGAACACTGGATTAAAATAATAAAGTAAGTACAATGCAAAAGATCCGACAGTGATTGTGCTGCCTGTCACATGTGATGCCTGTTCAATGGTATGCACTTGTTGTTACCAGCAAAGATGTCGGCCCGTGTGTACTCTGTCCTTGCCGATAACGATAACGGCCGTCCTATTAATACACTGTGTATCTATCACCCTTAAACACACTGATTATCTTTTCCAGGTAATAAACACTTAACTATTTCCTATAGTTTCTTTTTACTTTATCACATGACAATTATCTCGGTTTCCAAAAAATGCTCAACTTCCTGTGTCATAACAAAAATATTTCATTTCTACTCTCTCTGTATGCACCCCAATGCAAGGTATCTAAAAGTTGAACACCACTAATGTACCATTTCGGGACTATACACAGACAGAATTGTTACAGTTTAAATAACGCAAGGCCTGTATGTTACATATATACCACAAAACAATACACTTAGATAAATAATGCAGTCATTAAAAAAAAAAATTGGTACTTCAGTTTTTGGAGTTCAACTAATTATTTTAAGATTTACTTAAGCTTTACTTACATGTATATGTCTTTACTTATTTTCGTTCGGTACTAAGTAAATCAGTCATTATAAGATATAATACTTATAGTAATTACTGATGTAGGAACTTGAATTATGCAACGCTAATACTTATGTCATCGTATTTATTGTAGGAAAGAGACATGTATGTAGAAGGGATAACTTTGTGATGTATTTTGTCATGTGTGAATATAATTGTACAGCACAGGTATACAATTTCAGACTTTTCCAACTACCCCGATGTATTTTCAGTCCCAATTTTAACTTTTTTCAAAATTGAAAACAATTATATATAATTTATGTTTTTTTCTTTATCTAACATTATATAGTATCAGTTATTTAATTGTTAGTTGGTTGTTTTCCATGCAGCCCTTGAGAAACTATTCCTGAACTCCGAAGTCCTGGTCCGTCCGTTTGTTAGTAATGTTGCCTGCTTCATAAACATAGCTGATTTTACATGTAAACCATCTCATTTTTGTGAATTCTCCAACACCATTTTTCAAACTTCAAATTATCATATTCGTCCACCTCATATGGCAGAATATTTTTGATTGAAGTTCACTTTTTGAGTTCACAAATATCTGACTTATACAATTCTAATAATAAAACCACGTAAAAAACCTAATCCGAAGGAAAGTTGTAAAACCACGTAAAAAGAATAATCCGAAGGAAAGTTGTAAAACCACGTAAAAAGAATAATGAGTAAATACACGTTTTAAAAAGTAAAGATATACTGAATAACAGATTAAAAAAAAGTAAAAACAAGCAAAGAATTACTTAATAACAAGTAAAAACACTTTTTAGAAAAGTAAAGATTTAGTAAATAACAGATATCAAAGTAATATCAAGTAAGAATCAATTAATTAGAGATGAAAACACTTAATACAAAAAATAATACTTGAATTCATGTAAAAGTATCGTGGAAAGTGAAGCTACTTCTTGTAAATAAGTAAAACAATAACTGAGACAAAACAAGCATTACATACGAATGCTGAAAGTTAGTTTTGTATTTAAATAGTCAACCATCAATAAGCCATATTAGGATTAATTTTTAAAAATGACAACGTTATATACATTTTCTACTTTGAATAAGTATTCAGATTCAGTTAAAGTTTGTGATGATGATGATGATGATGATGATGATGATGATGATGATGATGGTGGTGGTGGTGGTGGTGGTGGTGGTGGTGGTGATGGTGGTTGTGGTAGTGGTGATAATGATGATGATGGTGGTGGAGGTGGTGGTGGTGATGGTGGAGGTTGTGGTGGTGGTGGTGGTGATGATGATGATGATGGTGGTGGTGGTGATGATGATGAAGGTGGTGGTGGTGGTGGTGGTCGTCGTGGTGTTGGTTGTGATGATGGTGGTGGTGGTGGTGGTGGTGGTGGTGGTAGTGGTTGTGGTAGTGGTGATAATGATGATGATGATGATGATGATGATGATGATGATGATGGTGGTGGTGGAGGTGGTGGAGGTGGTGATAATGATGGTGGTGGTGGTGATGGTAATGATGGTGGTGGTGGTGGTGGTGATGGTGATGGTGGTGGTGGTGGTAATGATGTTGGTGGTGATGTGACCTCACATTACATAACTTTATAATTACTCGTCCCATATAATGATGAAATAAACTCGATGTTTTCAAAATTAGTCAAACTGTCATAATCGGCGCTTACCGAATTAAATAATGTACAAGCATTTTTTTCTCAAATATAAAACTAACGCTGATAAGTTCTCTTTATCAACAAGCCTTCCTCATTCATATCCTACTTTATATCATCTGACACTAGAATTTGTGTTATCAGGGGATATCGTTCAAGCCACAGGATCTAATCACATTTTTGATACCCTTCTTCGCTAACTACCTTGATATATACAGTGACAGCCGATCCTCGAGGAAATATATTATGACTAGTATCTATATCTTTGCTCATTCCGGGTAACATGTGATGTGATCACACCCTACTTATTGCTATCAGAATACAGCCTATGATATCAGACTGTGTACATATACGCGTTGGACGCATAAAGCAAACAAACATTACTTCAAAGACAATTTCACAGAGCTCGATTATGTTAGCCGGAGCATTACAGTTTGTCAGTTTACAGTTTAATCGAGAATATGTAACAAATTCTCGCTGAATAATACACACTTGGCCATGATTTATTGATTATTTACTTTCGAAAAAAATAAACCTTGTCGTACTCCGTGCAATGTATCCATATGATAGGGCACCAAGCATACACCCAACGATAACGATTACCCGGATTAGACTGGGGTACAAGTTTGCTTTGATACATAAATAAGCATTTGCAAGTGTATACCTGGTAAATAATACACGTGTTCATTTTGTGTCTAAAAATTTACCATCGAAAACTGACAAATGCTGAATGATTGAAATATGGAAAGCTCCTGGAATAGTTCAAGGTATTATGACATACAGATATATAGCTGCACTTTTTAATATGCCAGTCAGACATATTGAGGAGTGTCTCGGGTATGACAGACCTCGGAAGACTACAGACTTCTGTGTAGATATGGAGGTCGAGTCTCATTCAAAATTGCCAACAGACTCGGGTTATCCGCCGTACCGTCAACAGACTTTTGAATACTGAGCAATTTCGCACTCACCGATCAGTAAAGCGTCCTCTGATGACTGGAAGGCACAAACAAGACTGCCATGGGCATTTGATCACTGAACATTGACTATTACGTATTGGCATGCAGTCAGAACCAAATTGTCTGGTTACGGCAGCTTTGGGTGGTTGTGATGTTACTGTTTGGGGATGTTTTTCTCTAAGCTCCTAACGTCGCTTACATGCCCTTTATGGAACTTTAAACCGTGATCAGATCCTTCGACCTTTAGTTGTTCCACATTTTAATGCCAATCCATTGGCAGATTGGCCTTTCCTAACGGATGGCAATGCAAAACTACTCACAATCAATCTTCTTGTCCAATTAACATGGCGTATCTGTTAATCAATATTTTGAAATAAATTTTTTTCTAAACTATTTGAGCTCATGTTTTTAATATGATACAGCACTTCCGGTTCTGTAAATTGCTTTTCCTATCGACTGTGTTTAGCTTCGGTTTCGTTGGGTGCCTTATTAAACAGCATTCCTATATATTCTGTTGTCATCGAATATTTTTCTTAAAAGCACTTTACAAAATTAAGCCAATATTAGGTATGGGTTTCCCTGTACATATCCTTTCTACGAATGTAACAGAAAAAAAGTACATTCTTTCATACGATTAAAATTTGTCTGATTTATTCAAACCACATATTACATTATGTACAAAAGTGATGAATCCTCTTCCCTTGATACTACATAATGAAATTTAATGGCATATTTCTGGTACACTATTCATATTCTTTCACTAGTCTCGGATAGCGAGGTGCACAATTCGTTTAAAACCCTTAGTGTCCATAAGACTGTACTGCTGCCGAAATGACCTGTGATACTCTAACTGTTCTATCTGCAATCTGGTCATTTGTCTTATCAAAGCGCGTTTTAGTCATCGAAACTTCATGCATAACTTTGTAATTTCTAATCAAATTTTGATAAAGGAGCATGACATGCGATGATCCTCCCTTGTGCTGTTTAGTGAGACATTCATCAGGTACTACACGACGACTCAATTTAAAATGGCGGTGGCTGTTAACAGGGGTGATAATCCAAACAAGTTCTGTGTGGGGTCGTAGGTAAACCTAACCGTTACATTGTGATCGGATTAAAAAAATATCAGTAAACGAACAGGTTTTGTTACTCTCTTTGTACATTTTTAAACGGTTCACTGTATTTTCTCTCATATGGCAAACGAAAAAAGCGTGCAAAGCCAAGGTACGAGGGCTGATTGATAAGTTGTAATTCTCACATTTCAGGGTTTGACTTTTGGTGGACATACTGCATTATTTGTCATCATTATACCGTTCAGTATCTATACAATTTTGCCAGCGATGTGTAAGGGCTTCAATGCCACTTTTAAAGATGTCCTCCACTTTTTTACACGACGTCATTAGTCAATCAATCCAAAGCCGCAATTGTTATTGGTAGACATGGCAATGGCAGACTTGTGAACAGTGACATTGTCCTGATGGAACAACACACCTATACGGAGGTTTCCGCGGCGCTTGAGATTAATATTTTCTTTTAACTATCCCTTTTGCAGATAATGTATCATCAGAATATCATCACCATAACAGAAAATCGAGACCATAACCTTACCTACTGATGGAGTAGTCATTGATGGACCCAAGTTT